ATCCCCTAAACCCTAAACCCTGTAGATCCCTTTTAGATCCCTTAAAGGAACCCCTAGGTATTCCTTATTTAAGGGCTCTCTGGGGAGGACCCCTAGCTCGTGCTTTCAGGGTAGACCTCCTGAGATCTCAGGCTTTGAGGCACTCAGCGACTACCCGGATCAGGCGCCCCGTTCTCGCGGGGGCATGTGGGGTTGGTGGGGGGGTTTCTGGCCTTTAGGGTTAAGGGGTTACTATAAGGGTACTATTAAGGGTCCCTTTGAGGGGCTCTATATGGGTTTAGAGTTTAGGGTTAGGGTTGTTTTGAGTGAAGTCAGAACTCGGACTAGTGCAATCTCGCATGCAAAGTCTCGGGGTCTCAGGGTTTGGGGTTTAGGGTTTTTAGGGTTTAGGGTACCCTAAAACCCTGAACCCTGAAACCATGCAACAACCGCGGGAACTCGCAGAGGGTTTTTGGGGCTTGGGAACTGATGCCCCTGTTAGCCCAGTTGCTCGAACCCCTGCGCTTGTTTTAGCGCAGAAGCCTCAGCGAGTCGATATGTGAGTTTCCGGAAATTAGGGGTACCTTATTTTGGGGGCCTTAGAATAAGGATCCTACTATTCAGGGATTGATATTAGGGTCCCCTATTTTCGGAAACTCCCATGTGTTATCCTGTCTTTGCAACTCTTGACCGGAGCCGGACTCCCGATTCCAGTGGTTAAACAGCGTCTGGCCTTTGTGATGTAGCTTGGTCTGCTGGTTGAATATCTGCGCAACAGCGTTTTGTCGGGCTTCTGACCACGATTCGCTTATAATTTTCCGACGCCCAACTATGTTTTCCTCAGGCTCCTATGTTGTGCAACTTGACATTTGTGGGAACATGCCACACATGCCCACTGATGAAATCTCTCTCTCCCTCTCTCTTTACTTCAGCTCGAGGGTGAAACATTGCCTGCAAGCCTCAATGCAAGGTCAACGAAGACCTATCAAGTATCCAATCCTTATCCGAACTAAAGTCCGGCACCGGCAGCTGCACCACAAAGGAAAATGCCAAACCTCAAAATCCAAACCTGAACCTGCAGTCAGCAAAGACGAGCCGCCCAAATCTCAATCGCCAGCCCTAAACTCGCCACAAAGAGGTCGGAGCCCTGACGTTCCAGGGACACCGTGTTGAAACGGCCCTGCTCTTTTGATGCAGTAGCAACGGTGGGGTGTGCGTGCTAGCTTTCAGGGCCTCAGTTCGGGTGACCGGATGGCTTAACAGCAGCTTCGCATGTTTTTGTTTCCACTCCAGCTGTCTAGGGTCTGGCTTCCGGTGATCGGATGGCTTAACAGCATCTTCGGACGGTTTCTTCCATGAAAGCTAAGTCCAAACCCCTGGGTGAGCAGCTATCTGGGCGCTGTTGCTCTTCTGCCCCGTCTCGGTGGGCTTAGAATCCCATGGACCAGGCATTCATAGTAATTCTTGTTGTTATTATTGAATGTTATTGTTATTATTGGTTTCCTTCCATGGACGTTCATGGGTAGTTATAAGTAGGGGTATAAGTCGGGTAAATATACTTATTAAACATAGGGAGACTTACAACCCACAGATAACTACCCCTGAACCTCCAAGTAGTTTTCTTATCATCTTTGAGGATGTTGCCGTAAGGGCATGGACCAGAAGTGTGTGTTTAGGGCTGCATGGGGCTCTCGTATGTCCTAGCATGGTTGCAATTCAAGGAAAGCGACGGGCCCCCGAGGACCGGCTAAGCCCTAAATTCTACGGTTTAGGGTTTACCCAAAGGCCCCAAAGTAGTTCCTTTTTGGGGTTCGCATATAGAATCCTTTAGGGTAATCCCAAAAAGGAACTACTTTGGGGCCTCTGGGTATTCTTCAGCATAGCTGCGCATCTATATACGACCCAGATGTTCAAGTCCAATTTTAGGGTCGTGATGATGCTCGTTGCTCTTCATCCGAGGTATCACAGCTCGTGCGTGCCTTCCTCAGAGCTCTCAGGTAGCCATTGACTTCGGACTTAGGGGAACCTGGCTGTACTTCAGAAGCTTCTCAGGCGATTTCAAGAAGAGGCTTTTGTTGGGCCTGTTTGGGCGTTCTTCATTTGCAGCATCCGCTTTCGAGGGTTGGCCGGACTCCTCAAAGCTACCCTGAGATCCAAGCAGGGCGACAAGTTCGGAGGAATTTCACTTCGGTGTTTCGTGTCCGCGACGTTTCATACGTCAGCAGCCCCTCAGGAAGCCAAGTTAACCCCAGACCACATATATCCTGAACACGGAACCCCGGTCGAGTGTGCTGCGGGTCCATAGCCGGTACAGGTGCCTCCAGGGGTTCCTTTAGTCGTTACGGGTGCTTATGGGGTTATAAGGGTTCGTTGCTATGATGGCAGGGCAGGTTTTTGAGTTTGTTTCTATGAGGCCTCCTGTAGAGCAGAGGTCGCCCAAGTAATGGTTTCCCTATGGTGCAATTGAATTCTGGTTTTTGGAGGGTGTACGTAGTGCCTCAGGAATATCGGCGAGTTTGTTTTCACGGTGGTTAGTTAAATGAGATAGTTAAATGAGAAGACTGCAGGTTAGGACCTAACCTAACTCACATGCTGTTCTATATCGCCTTGGTCATAACCGTGGCGGCTGGCGTTTGCGGGAACTTGCGAGTTATTGAGAGCGTTCTTAAGATATCTTAATTAATCAGGATGTTAGGTGAGTGGATAGGCGACAGCTCATGGTGGCACCGGCTGGGGTATCAGGATTCAGGGCTTGAGCTTTGTGACATCCATGGCATCTTGTTGCGCTGCACGCAACCCTCATTCCAAAAACCCTGAACCCGAAACCCCCCCAAGCACTAAACCCGAAACGCATCGTCCGATAAAATAGAAAGAGCTTAAACCCTAGCTACAGCAGAATCGGCTTTTTGTTGCAAGCTTCGGAATTTGAGGCTGTATTCTTCCCGATATGGTGGTCAGGACCGGTTCGTTCGTGGGGATGTCTTCCGGCCGCCTTCAGCCAGAGCCTAACCTCTATAAGCCCTGATGCAGTGTGGATGTCTTGGGATTGACGCTGCCTGCATGAGAATCTCACAAATTCCGGATCGAACCATAAAGCCCTAAGCTCCTGAATCCTAGACTCCAAATTAACCTGTCCTTTTCAGCCTGGGGGGATTCCTCTCCGGCATGCAGAGTGCCTCACCCCCCCTTGCCCAGAATAAAACGTTCGCAACATTTAAGGTGGATTCCTCAGGGCGATGTGGGTTCTCTGGGTCCTTCAGGTGCTGAACGGCGACACGGGCAAGTTAGTCTTCCAAACGGAAACTGGTAGCGCCGTCAGCCCTCTCACGCGCGTGCCTGCACCTGGGCCGAGATACCTTAACCCCAAATAACCTACCATTTTAGGGACTTGTCTAAAGAACTCATATTCGGGGGCCCTAAAAGGTAGACTCCTTGGAGTCCAGGTAGGAGCTGCTCTTTCGGCTTTTGAGTTTTGCATTTTTTTGCGGCTTTCTGGCTGTTTCGGTTTTCTAGCACATGCGCGCTCGTCACGGTGTAGTGTCGGAATTCGTTTAGGCAAGACAGTCTCATTCAACTAGTTTGCCCTGCCAATTGCGTTGAGAGGTGCTTCAATGCTCGCCTGCTCCGTCAGACTGGTAAAGGTGGATCTCAACGCTGATCCCTCAAACCCAAGGCTTACTCAGGCTTGACTCGTAGCCCTCCCCTTCCACTCGTACTCTCATGGCTGTCATGGTGCGGATCCCGTTTTGGGTCGATGTTGGGATTTCTTGTTGTCAGCTATGAACAAATGCACGGTGCAACCACAAGTAGGGTGAGGGAGGATTCCCACGACTTGCAGACCTTACTTGGGAGTTAGAATTTGGGGGACCCTCGGGGATATAGACCCTCCCAATAAGGTCCCTTTTAAGAGAGCCAGAAGTAGGGTTCGGAAGGGGTATCCTTTAAGGGGTCTCCCTCATCATGCTACCCATTACTGTAAGCTTGAGAGTCAGCTTCTTAGACCTTTCAACACCTAGAAACCCTGAGCCCGAAGCTTTAACCCCAAAACCTAGATCCAAACAGACCCTAAGACCATAAACCTGCAGCCACATAAACTGCACCGAAAACCCTCAGGGACACCAATCGTTGACAAGTCAACTCTGGATTTTGCAGTTATGAGCTGGTATTTAACGGCCACACCGGGTTGCATGTCACGGCTCTCAAGGTACAGAAAGGTATGGGCAATGCGTTTTTGTATGAGTTCTTCTCCTCTGCAGGAGGATCCCCCGGACCCGAACCCCCAAAACCACCGCAAACTGTGCAAGATGCGAGCTCTCTTCCTCGCAGACGCTGAGGATTCACCCTACGACTCCGGATGCATTCTATGATTCTTCATCAAATCCCGGCAAGATCCCTATGAACCCATAGCAGCCCTTGAAGCCAAGATGCCTGAGGTGGATGGATTTCAGCTGATGCCATGCCTCACGAAAGCCAAGGCTACCGCCGGGGATTTCTAGGATGTTTCAGCGCCAAAAAGCAGGCCTTTCTGTCCAGTTAGGTCTACGGGGTTCTTTCTCAATCGGGTTTAGGATCCCCGAGCCGTGAGATCTTGGTTCAATGGGTGTTTTGCGCTGTCTGCTTCAGGGTTCGAGTTCAAGCTCTGAGGGGTCAGGGTCCACTCGAAACCGCGACAAGAGAGGATCGAACTCCGGAGGGTACAGGGCATCGACTCGAGTGCGTCGAGGGTTTACCTTACGTAACCCCAAATAATCTATACCTTTCAGGGACTTATATAAAGAACTCATATCATGTGACCCTGAAAAGGTAGGTTCCTTAGGGTCAAGGGTTTGGAGTATAGAGGGCGTTTTTGCGGTAAACAGGGCTTAGGCTCTAGAGTCGCAGCGGCCTGGACACTTCGCCACCCTAAACTCTCTAAGGCTTATATACCCTATAACTTGAATCTTAAGCCCTCAGCCCTGAACCCTAAATCTTAAGCCCTAACCCGCATAGGTCCAACAGGCTGGCCCCTGGTGCTGAAACTTCTGAAGGCTTCCGAGCGATCTTCCAGTCTATAGGGTTTGGGGTCTATCTTAACCCTGAATATCCTACCTTGATAAGGAAATCGTAATGAGGAGCCCCAAAAAGGTATATATTTGGGGTTCAGGGATCAGGGCTCAGGGTTTTGGGGTTGGAGGGTTTTTTGGGGGTTTTGGGTTTTGGACGGTCCCTGTGACCGCCGATAATATCAATCCCTATTCTGATTCTGAAGGCCGCTCTACTAGCGGAAGCCAGCCCGAATCCCTAAGCCCAAAAAGCCCTGAAACTTAAAGCCTGGAGTTCCAAAGCCCTGCACCCTAAACCCTAGAAGCCTCAACCCTAAACCCTCACGACCTCCTCAAGCGGCTGTCTTGGGATCACTGTCAGTCCAAAGGCCCCCAAACCGAACCTGAAACCCTGCAGACCCCGAAACTCAACCCCAAACCCTAACCCTGGATCTTCAAAAAGGGGAGACCCTGAAATTCAGCGGAACCCCCCCCCCCCCCCCCCCCCCCCCCCCCCCGCCGGCTCCAGAAGAAGCCCCGCTTCCCGTTTCCTAGCGGAGGCCTGGGCTTCCTTCGTGAACTGGGAGCAGGGAGTGCTGGACGTGAAGAAGGCCGGCGCTTTCTTTACCCTCTAATCTACCTTAGATCTGAGGGGTACTTAGAAATTATTTTTAATTTTTGGTTATTATAATCCCTAAGAAACAGCTAAAATTATAATTTTTGCTAGGGTTCTAAGTTCAGTATAGAGATACCCACTATTGAGGACCATAAGGAGCTTTAGGGTTTTAAAGTTTGAGGGTTTCGGTTTCTAAGTGCTGGATGTGAAGAAGGCCTGAGGAGTTTTTCTAGACCCCCAACTACCCTCAAATATACCCGAAATATACCCACTATTAAGGACCATAAGGGCCCCATTAAAGGGCCATAGGCCATAGGGGGGTCCTGGTTGGGGGGTTTTAGGGGCGTTAGGGTTTTAAAGTTTTAAGGTTTCGATTTCTAAGTGCTGGACGTGAAGAAGGCGCTTTTTTTGTTTAGGGTCTGGGGTGTTAGGGCTTAGGGGTTTTCGGGTGTTAGAGACGTGAAGATGGCGATTTAGGGTTTAGGATTTTGGTCAGGGCTTTGGGTTTCTGGTTTTAAGCTTTGGGTTGCGGGTTTTGAGTTTTAGGTTTTGGCTTTTCGTTTCGTTGTGGGCAGGGCTTGCAGGGCTTAGAGTACATAAGGTTGTTCACGCAGTTTTGCGGCTTTTTGGATCTCTGAAAAGATCGTGTTGCAGGGCTAGGACGTACATGATATATGGTTCAGGGTTTAGGTGGTAAGGCAGGTACAGTTTATCGCGTGAGGCGGAGCTTTTGGGTTCTTTGGAAGCAAGGCTTTTAGGGTCGTGGCGGCTTTCAGGGTCATGAGGTTCCCTGCTGTCTAGAGGCTTTGCAAACGCGCTTGATAGGGCATTAAGGCTGCATGTGCCTACAGGCTCTTCTGGGCTTATAGGCTGATGTGCTTCCAAAGGTTGTTCGTATTTGGGTGTTCGAGAGAACAAAGCTCCACGGGTGGCACTTTTGACCCATCGTCCTGGTCAAGATCACGGTTGATGGTGCGGATTACCAGGACATTGCTGCTCAGATGCGCTCGACTGCACACAAAGCAAAGGCCTCTCAAAGGTGCGGTAAACCCATGTCCACATCATTGGTACAATTGCGCATGTTGAGCCTTGCCAGCACATGGGATTTGCATGGTCCAGAGTGCAGGTATAGTTGATTTTGGATTGGTCAGATAGGCATGGTGAAGCAACCTGGCATCAACCCAAGTATGATCGAAGGAGTATTCCCTAGTTCGGTTATATTTGGAAAATCTGTGCAAGGGACGGGTGTCCGATGTGGGTATTAAGCCGGGTAATCCTTCCTCCCTAATACTCAGGACGGCCTAAACTTCCCTGAGGATCCTAGTACCCTCCCCTTGAACAACCATCTCCCTGCTCCTAAGCATCCTGTAGCACGCTAGACCCCTCAAATCTTGTATAGCTCCCGCAAAGCCCTCGACCAAAGCGGAAGGTTTGCAGCGCAGTCTGCGCACTCTTGCCGGCCTCCTTGCTGCATTTTGAAAGCATCATCCTGCTCGAAGCATTAACTGGGTCCCTTCTATTCGCTGTTCCGTTCGACTTCCTGGTAGACATTGGTTTTCATGGATAAGGGAATGAGATCAAGATTTTTTGTTGAGTCAGAAAGCTTGTGGGTACGGATTTAAGGATCAAGGCTTCATCCGCTGTGTCTTGAACTGAGGGTTTTTGGAAATCATACGTATGGCTTGCGTAGATCAGGGTTTCGCATTCATGAGTTTCGCAGGTTTTTGTTTGGGATCTATGGGGAATAGACTGGGTCTGTTTCTATAATGATGCTTGCTTCTGCCTCCAGTTGGCTCCTCTCTCTCTCTCTCCCTCTCTCTCTCTCTCTCTCTCTCTCTCTCTCTCTCTCTCTCTCTCTCTCTCTCTCTCTCTCTCTCTCTCTCTCTCTCTCTCTCTCTCTCTCTCTCTCTCTCTCTAGACAGATAAGTATACATACATATATATATATATACACATACATACAAAGACAGAGAATGGCGCTTATGAATTCGATCCCTAAAAGGCTTTGTGTGCTTGGGGCATCAAATGGGGCTCCTTGTGCCAGCCTTGTCGTTCAACATGAGTCTTGTATGCAGACTCGAAAGTATCCCGAGTACTTACCAGGACCCTCCTTCTATCCTCAAAAGGGGTATATGCTCCCAAATAAAGGGCATCTAGGGTCTAATAGAGGGTAGATGGAGGGTCTAGGTAGATGTTGGGGTTCTAAAACAAGGGGGCTTGAAGGACCTACAAGGTTTCTATTTTTCTACTCGCGTTCTTTAGGGGCTCGGACCGGTTGAGCGTTTTCGGGCCTTTGGTTCTTCTGCGTTCTCCAGTCCGAACCTTAAGTGTTCGACCTAGGCGATACTATAAGGAGTAGGGAGGGTGCATAATAGTGCAACTGCAACTGTGATTGCACTTTCTGTATAGGTATTCCACCCATCTTTATTTATTAGGACCCTTGGAGCAAGGTGGATGAGTGTGATGCGCGTCGCTTCGTCCTCATGGCAGCTCGATTGAATGATTTTGGAGCCTTGCTTATCGAGTGTAACTTGGGTACTCTTCCAATGTGTAACAGTTAAAGATACTGTTCATACTATAGCTGTTGTATGACCCACAATACAGACCGTTACAGGTTGGGGCCAGTCCCCCAGTTTATACCATACCTGGGCCTAGGGAGCAGTTCAGGTCTGGGTAGCTCCAGACTGCTTCAAGCAATCCTTAAACCGGCTCTGGTGCTGCCAGCTAATCCTCCTAAGTGCCAACGTGGCATGTACTTCAATGACCGAAACATTATCCTACATACTTTTGGGGTCCAAGTAACCCCGATATAAAACAGTATGTTTTTTGATCCCAGGTAGAAACTTGAGGGCAGCTGAGCAAAATTATGGCAGCGGGTCAGACCTCATGATCGGATGGCTCTGAACTTACGCTAAAACTCCAGCTGCTTCAATATATTAAATTACTGGCCTACATCCCGTATGTTCGCAACCTACTATTGGGGTAGGTGGAGCCCTAGGGTCGTGTCATTTTAAAAAATGGGTTTACGGATCTATATGGCCTAGGTTTAAGTAAGGAGGGCTGCATGCCAGGCAGTTGAGGTTGAATCCTAGCTGGGATATGAGTTGTCTGCTTGACTTGAAGTGCGGTCCGGTTTGCGAATGCTTCGCGAGGATATTGGGTTTTGGAATAAGGTATTTCAGTCATGTTGCTTTGAGTGCTAAACCAAGGCTCGAGGAGAAGTTGAAGTATGGATGCTGTGAGGGATTCCGCACTGCACCGTTTAGGGATTCTTTGGGGGGGTCCCGGTGGGTTAGGCTATCACATTTACAGCGATCTAAAGTTTGTCACTTTCCGCGGCTTTCCTGCCGTCATGCTGCATGTTCAGAGCATTTCGGGAGAAGAGATTGCTGCGCTCCCGGCAGAGGACTTTCGTACCGTGTTGGAGTTGAAGCGCCACCTCCGCGAGCTGCACGGCGTTGCAGTGTGCCTACAGCAGCTTGTGTGCGAAGGCAAGTGCCTGGAGGATGATGAGCAGATTGTGGCCGAAGATTTGCAGCTGGTGGTTTTGTCTGCCATAAGCCAGGAGCAACGCGACGATGCTGGAATGGAGCTCCTCAGTGCCACTGGAGAAAACGATCTGAAAGCCGCGCGCCTTCTGCTACAAGCCGGTGCAGACGAGAACTATTTCCGGAATCCCCGCCGCATGCTGGGCGTTAACGCGGACCGCACAACATCTCTGATGATGGCTGCCGCAGAAGGCCACACCGAGATTTTGCGTTTGTTGTTGGATGCTGGAGCGAAGAAGGACTTGACAGACTTTAGAGGCAGGACAGCTCTTCACATGGCAGCCTTTGAAGGGCGCACTGAGACTGTGCGATTGCTGGTGGACGCTGGGGCTGATAAAGACCTGCGGGACGATTACGGCAGGACGGCTCTAATGCTTGCGGCCCAAATGGCCCGCACCGAGATCTTGAGTTTGCTAGTGAATGCTGGTGCCGAGAAGAACTTCCGGGATAGTTCCGGCATGACAGCACTTATGTATGCAGCAAGAGCGGGTAATGATGTGGAAGCTTTTGATCATGCAGCCCCAGCAGTCTACTTGGAGACTGTGCGTTTACTGGTGGAGGCAGGTGTTGACGACAACATGCGCGACAACAATGGCATGACAGCTCTCATGCATGCAGGCCGAAGCGGCCGCACCGAAATCTTCTCTTGTTTATGTAGCGGAAGTACAGCATGCTGACTACGACTGCCTGCTAGTGGACGCTGGCGTTGAGAAACACTTCAGGACATGACATCTCTCGCCAGCTCCCAAAGGGTCCAAAGTACCTATAGAGTAGAATGTAGGATTTCTATATTAGGAACCCTTATTATGATTTGGGCAAGTATCCCCTGTAACAGTACCTAATAGGATGATTTGGGGCTAAGATCCTCCACTTTCTGGGAAGAGGACGCAGGCCCTGATATTGACTTCCTTGACGCCTGTCAGCGTGCTGAGATCGACAAAATCCTGGGGCTCCAGCTACCTGAATAGTATGTAACTAACCATTTGGTATGTAGGTAGCCAGTAACCAAATATGTAGGTCACTGGAGCCCTATAGGGAAACACGGTGCAAATTGGCATCTCATGCCATGGTCAGATCGAGCTGGGGGCGGCGCTTTCACTGAATAGTAGTGCTCCACTTGAGGTTCGAAAGAGGCCGACGGGTTTTCGGGCGATGGCTATATTAGATCTCCAGCTTGTCCATACATTCGTTTCCTTCACCTCAAAACCGTTTGCGGTGTGCACCTGCAGGCTAACATGGCTGTCTGCCTTTTCTTCGCAGTCCCCGCCGTCTTATGGACAGCTCCAAGAACCAGTCTGGATCATAAGCCGTAGATTTTCGGCTTTAAACGGCTGAGAGGCAGAAAGACCTTGGAACGCAGAACCCTGTATCTATATATCTACACCCAGCACGACCTTGCGCACAACACTTGCTTCTCAGTACCCCTGATCAGATCAGCTATAGCAGGGTCGCGATGTAACATGAAGAGGATATGTAAATTCGTTTCGTTCAAAGACGCTTCCCAAGGATTGCATAAGGCTTTCGATCAGGCTTCTAGTTCCAGTTCCACAATTTTATGGGGGCTTTCATGCAACGCCTTTAAGGGCAGCTGGAAGGTCCTCCTAAATTCAGAGAAGTCGCTATATACCTTCTCTCTGTCCCTGCGGATGTCTTCGAATGGGCAGCCTGGTATATACAAGTACCAAACCCAACCCAGAAACCGGAGTTGCCTAGGGTATTGAAAGTGCCGAACTCGGTTTATGGCAGGGGTTGGAATAGTTGCAAATAGTATCCCGTTGTTGTTTTGGTAAAATCATATACCCCCAAGCCCCGTTCTAAATATTAGGGCCCCTATATGATAGGGTTTAGGATCAAGAATAGTAATGATACACCCTCAAGCTCTGTTTTAAGTTTGAGCGCCCTATATGACAGGGTTTAGGAATAAAACCCCAAGCATTGGTTTAAATACTTGATCCCCTATCAGCACACCCCAACACCCTTTAATGGAGCCCTTATGGCCCTTAATAGTGGGTAGTTGGGGTATACTAGAAGATAGTTGACCAGTTCTAGGTATATGATAGGGTTTAGGATTGAAGGCCCCGGCTTTCAGCCCCCAGTCAAGGAGATCGGTCTGTCTGATGACCATCCGGATGACACAGAGATTAAGCAAAAGGAGGCGCAACATAGGGGAGCTCAAATAAAGACCCATACCATTTTGGGGGCTCCTAGTTGTGTTTATAGCATAATGGGCCCGGAACATTATTCCAGTTATTAAGGCCCCTACAGTAACGAGGGGAGCTTTTTAACCCTGAACCTTGAGCCCACCCCCGCCGATCTTACAGTAGCATTCCAGTTTTTTCTTCATTCAGCCCGAGCAACCCCCCGAAAGGGCGGACACCGGCATCATAGTGCAGGGGCAAAAGTAACTAGAGTAGGGTTTTTGGGGGTTTCTTTTATCATTCTAGCATAATATCCCCCAAAGCCCTATTCTCATGATTAAGGCCCCTACATTGTATAGAACTATCTTATAGATTCCCTTATATTGCCCCTTAAGGAACCCTTAAACTAATGCGCAGCTCGCAGCTTTTGCAGTTGCTGTAATATAGGACCCTGAATAACTTAGCAATTCTATTGTGGGGTGCTCCTTGTTATGATTACAGTCGACAGTATAACATACCCCGAAGCCCTGTTCTAACTAATAAGGCCCCTATATTAGCCCACCAACCCCAAGACTCAACAAGTTGCAACGTTGCAAACCCTACAGCAGAGTGTACATACTTTACATGAGACCCCTAATGCATAGAAGGTTTGAGGTAGTGCTGGGGCGGAAGTATCGGACGCAAGCAGACACGAACCCTGACCTCAAAGTGCATCGCTGAAGTCGCCGAAAAAGACCCGGAGAGTGAAGCACGTGAATTTCAACGGATCCCTCTAATTATGCAGAGCACTGTAACCCTGTCGCTAAACCTATAGAACCCTTATCGTTTCAGTGAGCCCCCTGCAGCCCTGTTTAGTGGCTCTTGAAAACCCATAACGTGACACTGTAAACCCAACCCCCCACGCCTCAAAACCCTCGAAAGGTGGTCGACTCCCTCTTACCGGCTGTGCGACGGCAACTCCGTCGCCTCGTCGGTGAAGCCCCAAAGCCCCTTGGTACAGCACGGGTGTTGAGACTTTTTTGGGTGGTAACCTGGTTTGTTGTCAGGAGCCGGTAATAATCAAAGATAACCTAACAGAAGCGCAAAAGTTAAGGGTCTGATATCGACGAGGGAGCAGTTTCGATCGTATTCCCTTGTAATACTATCGTCCCTTATACATTGCCACCCCAAAGCCCGATTCTACGTCTTAAGGCCCGCATTTCTAAGGGCCCTCAGGCGTGGGGAAGGGCAGCCCCGTCTAATGGCCCTGTCAGCCCATGTAAGGGAGGTGCACCGTGTTGCTGTGGAGGGGGTAATCGCTAATGCTGACGCTTGTATTACGAAGGAACTTGGACCCTTACGGTTTCACCGCGTGACTCAGCACAGCTTAAGCAAGAGGTTTAGGGATTTAGGTTTTTGGGTTTAGGGCGCAAAGACCTCCATAGGACGAGGCCTCAGAAGCGCATATTTTAATCATGTAGAACAGCGGCATCTTCGGGCACCCCTTATACCCACAAAGTAGGAACCCTACTAGGGTCCCTAATTTTCGGAAACTCCCATATTGAGCCTTCAAGTTCTTCACGAGTTGCCCATAGACCTCTATGACAAAGCTTTTGCAACCTTCGCTGACCTTAGCAAGCCCTTATACAGCACCATAAAGCACTCCTGCCAAGCCCTGCACCTTCATAGAGCCCCGATTCAAGAAAGGCTGGGACCCGAAACCTGCTGGAAGCCGTCGGTGCGTTCTCTCCTGCAGGCGCAATGCACCCGAGCTCTGCAGGAACTCTGACGAGGTGGGAAGCTTACTGTAGGGGCCTAAATAATTGCCTAAACTATTTTGGGGCTTCCTTATTCTAATTACAGTATAATGGCCCCCCAAACCCTATTCTAATCATCAAGGCCCCTTTATTATAGTCTCGGCGCCTTAGTTATCAGAACAGCTTTTGCGTGGTTGTTTAGAACGGTCGGGGTTCGGCTTATCACGGTTTTGCGTTTGCAGAGAGGTCAAGGGAGCCGGTTTAGAGTAGGGTCGTGAACAACGAGCAAGTCTGTTGTAAGGGTTGCCTCGTGAATTCTACCCCTGAACGTGTCGGAGCGGTGGGAGTCGTTCTAGGAAGGTCTCGGTATGAAGGCTACAAGGGGTCCCTCATAGAGGCGCGCGTGTCCGATGCTTGCCAGCTCGAAATTGGTGGTTGTCAACATTAAGGTCCCTTTTTGGGTCCCCATTATAATACGGCACCTCATGTTTAAGGTACCCAAAAACGGGACCACAATTTTGACAGCCACCCAAATACCTCAAAAATAAGGTCCCTTTTGGGGTCCCCATTATAATATGGCACCTAATGTTTAGGGCCGTACCCCAAAACGCGACCACAATTTTGACAACCACACAAATACCTCTAGGCTCCATTGTAGTTCCTGTTGGGGATTGCCTTATAAGATCCTAAACAGGAACCACAAAAAATAATTACAATGGAGCCTTATGAGATCCTATTTATGAACCACAAACAAGAATTGCAATGGGGCCTTATAAGATCCTATATATGAACCACAAAGAAGAACTACAATGGATCCTTATAAGATCCGAAATATGAACCAGAAAAAGAACTACAGTGGAGCCTATAGGTAACATGATATAGTGAACATCTACACATCATCCCACAAGCAACGTCCTCAGTTTTCTAGCAACATAGCGGCCAGACTTACTGCTCCGATACCCAAGGGCTCCGCCGGAATACTCATATAGAAGGCCCTTGGGAAGTAAGCCCGAGTAGGTTTCAACCCCAGCCATCGAGTGCATTCTATCAACTTCCTTAGTCCACACAACCTATGATAGGGGGCCAAGTTTAATTGATAATCTCTTTCCATGGGCTGAGTGACAGATAGAGTAACCACCCCAAACGTCCAATTGCATAATGTAGAGGTCGGATCAGTTAGTGAAATGAATCCCCGGCATCCTTTCTATTATAGTATACTATATGTATACTATCACATACCCCAAAGCCCCATCCCAATTCCAAAGACCCTTTCTTAATACGTCATGGCTAGGGACCCCTTCTTAGTACGTGATGGCCAGGGACCCCCAAACCCTGAACCCTCGACCCCACACCACCACTTCGTAGTCTTAGTACGGACCCCTAAACCCTCAACCCTGAACCTCTAAACCCCAAGCCACCGCTTCATAGTCTTAGTACGGAAACGGGCCAGGGAGAGTTGAAGCAGTGGTTCCAGTTCTGGGACACCCGGAACACCGGCGACATGGCTGCGAGGGCCTAGGCGGCCGAGGAGTTGGGGACTAGGGTTAGGGCGGTTGCATAAGTTGTTCTGGGGCCATTCAAAAAAGGCATTCAAGACCCACAACATGTAACAGTAACATATCCCCAGAGGCGAAGTTTGCAAACTTGGTTGAAAAATTGCGAAGAAAAAGCAGACGGAGACAAGGAGGCTTGGAAGGAACATGCCAGAGCCACGAGACGAACCTAAAGTGATTAAGTGCCATCAACACACGACCCTCACTTATAGGGCTTATTGGGTTTATAGGCTTTATAGCGCTTATAGGGCTTATAGAGGTTATTGGGCTTATGGGGCTTATAGGGCTTATAGGGTTTAGGGTGTATGAATTTCAATCATTCCTAAACCCGTCTACACCGAGGCTTCTTGGACCACGCCACACTGCATTTGGCCGTGACGACGGCCTTTCACACGGCCCTCGCCAAGAATGCCGACCCCTCGACGAAGGTGGTCTTGACTCAAGGGTTTTGCGTGTGTTGATGCCAACATTGTTCTCGATCATGCTTTGAAGACTGGCATTTTCGTCTCTCCTGGGGGGAGGAGGTGAGGTGAGGCGGGAGAGTGTCAGGGTGGGTATTCGAAAGAACGGCACAAGGCCTAATTCGCTTAAGCGCTAAGCTCGAAAAATACTCGGCCCCCTAAACCTCAAGCCTTAAGCCCTGCAGCCTAAATAGCTACATGCGAAAGCCGTAAGCCCAAAATACTCTGGTAAAGCCTAAGGTCCTGAAGACCCGGCGAAGTCTACTTAAGGGATCGTGGGACTTAGTAACTAGGGTTATAACAAGGGTAGCTATACTTATAACTACTTACAACCCCAACCAATTAAGTTACTATAACCTTACTTACTAAGTCCCGTGATCCTCCCAAGTAGACCCTAAACCCTAAACCCCATAGATCCCTTTAAGGAACCCTATAGATTCCTTTAAAGAGCCCTTGAAGGACCCTTTCTACGTCCCATGATCCTCCAAGTAGAAGCCCAAGATCCTTCCCCCATGTCAGCTGGCGGTTGCAAATGCCTTCTTCGCGGAGATCGGGCTGCGGGAGTGTGAGGCAGCCCGCGTTTTATAGTAAAAGTAGGTTTTTCAGGGCACTGCAAGGGTTTCTGTAAGGGTTCTATATCCACGTTTTAGGGGTCAAAGGGCTCTAATGCAAGGGGCTTTATCATCAAAGTAGGTTTTTTTTCTGGGGGCTGCATGGGTTTCTGTAAGGGTTCTATATTGAAGGGGCCGTATGATTAGAACAAGGTGTTGGGGTACATTGCATATATTGTCGTCATATTAAGGAACCCAGAAATATCGGTGCTTATGAGGTGCGATTGATGGCAGTCTTTTAAGTTGAGTCTGAGAGCACACTGGGGTCCTTCGGAATTCTGTTTTGGGTCACAAAGACTTCGCAGAGGCGCAGTGTCGGGCCTCGGACTTGCTTCCTAGTTTTCGCGGCTTCCCAGAGGGTCTATGAGCGCAAAGCACTTGGGATTTGCTCTCGCCGTTGTTCGGGGATAGTCTTATGCTGTTTCAGGTTTTCACCGTGTATATATTCGGTTTGGCGTTTAGGTTTTAGGTCGGTAGTTGCATGGCACGCTTCATTGTGTGCCACACAGCCTTGAACTCAGGCTTGCTGTGCCTTCCAGCATCAGATCAGAATCCTAACCTCTTGCAGCTGCGCCACTTCACTTACACATTACCCTAAACCCCTAAACCCCTAAGCCCACGCATGCACTTTGAGCAACCTCTCGGCCGTCAAGGCTTCAGGGCATTACCTCTATAGGCTCCATTGTAGTTATTCTGTGGCATTTGGGAGTTTCCGAAACTTCGGTGTACCTTATTTTGGGATCCTTAGTGCCACTTAGAATAAGGGTCTTACTACTAAGGGTACTATATTAGGGTTCCCTATTTTCGGAAACTCCCGTTTCCTTATCTAGGATCCTAAATATGGAAGTACAGTGGAGCCTAGTTCGTAGCCTTGTTGTCAGGACTGTGCCTTCGAAATCCCACAGCCGACCAAGACAGTAGCCTCAAGGTCTCGGGCAGAGGGGTGACATGTCGACGAGAAGCTTAACACCCCAAACCCTACCCCCCCAGACCTTTAATCCAAACCCCTAAACCCTAAACCCTAAACCCTAAACCCTAAACCCTAAACCCTAAACCCTAAACCTTGAATCCTAAGCCCTATAGACCCCAAACCTCAAAACTCGTGCACCCTGAACCCTTCAGCCGACAATCCTGAACCCTGCATAGAGTCATACGGTTGATGATACAAATCGCTGCATTACCCATAATAAGGAATATACCATAATTCCCATATTCAGGGTTCTTAAGGTAATGCAGGATTTATATCATAGAGTCGTATTTCGTTTTTTCTTCAAATAAAGCGGAGGAGAACATGAAAAGCTGTGTTTTTTTCAATTGTGGTTCTCAGGGGGGTACACACAACCCTAAACCCCTAAACCCTAAACCGCGAAATCTAAAGTCCTGCAACCCCCTGGACTCAACAAGTCAGGCAGTGAGCATGAACGACTTCGTGACGAAGCTGGAATCTTTGGCTTGATGTAATATTCGATATCTCCTTAAAGGCCGTGTTGAGTACAGCCACATAGTTAACATAGTCATATTCTGCTGTAGTCCTTGGTATTTTTATACTGTGATGATGTCTCATCTTGTGAATGGTAATGCAACTATGTGTTCTGCCGAATTGCATGGGGCACAGGTTCTTGTGCGCTTTAGCAATCGATGGGCTGGAAAAAAGCTCCTAAAGCCTACACCCTAGAACCCTAAGGCTCTAAAAAACTCGGATGCACGCTTCGAGGCTCGCAGGTGACTCGGGGCCCAATAATTTGAATCGAGCTTCATAGACGTTTATGAAGGGGGTTTAGTTTAGGGTTTGGTTTCTAACAGTTTGCGGAATTCCCACTATGCCAAAGATCCTCAAGGGATCGGTTTCTTGCCAAATGATGCTCCGATTGAGTCTTGGCCCTCAGATCTTTTAATGGCAGCAGAAGCATTCATGTCTATTGCGCAATCCTTTCAACCGTAGGCTTACATGCCCGGACATTCCTGGACGGAGTACTATGTCGGGGGGCCGATGGTTAATGAGAATAATGGTCTTGAGGGTTCCCCATTCTCACTGTTACCATACACCTACAAGCCAGATTCGAAAACATAATTTTCCCTAATATGTTTAGTGGGGGGAAACATATTTGTTCTCCAGTATGTTTAGTGCTGCAGCCTCTGTATTACAAAGTCCAGTATCTCATAGGAGGCCAAAAGGGGTTTTAGCCTATGGAGGTTTAGTAGGGAGTAGGGTTCCCATAATAGGGTTCAAATTAAGGAATCCCTACCCCAAGAATCTTAAACCCCCGTTTTGGCCTCCCATCAGTCTCCACCGCACCTCACACCGGACCAATGAATTACGAGGGCAGCGTCTCCGGAGTTGGGGCTCCGGAGTTGGGACAAACCGCCGTCGACCCAGAGAGCCCAAGACCCCTTAAGGAATACCTAGGGGTTCCTTTGAGGGATCTATAAGGGATCTACAGGCTTTAGGGTTTAGGGGACTCATATACCCCTTAAATAAGGAATATAGCTTCAGTCATAATATGAAGCCCTACATAATTAAAGCCAGAGTCCTTAATTAAGGGGTATTGGGCTCTCTCGATACTATCCGTCATGAAGTCATCCTAGCTATAGTCTCCTTGGGAATTAGTTTTATTCTTGTGCATATAAACCCAAGAGAATCTTATAAATAGTATATTCGTATGGTTCTAAGGGCTAAGGGGTGTGTAGATAAGGATTTAGAACCCTTAGCCTTATGATATAATAAGCCCGGCAATTCGAGAACTTGAACCGCTAGACGTCCCTAGGCTAGGTCCTATGTCCACTGGTATGCTAAAGCCTAAACCCCTGAACCCCAAACCATGAACCCCTAAGCCCTAAACTCTAGATACCTAGGAATCCCAGGCGCCGCACCTCCTTGCCAACCTGCCCGTGGCGTACGGGCGAGGTTGGCCTTCAGGACCGCGAACCCAAAGGGTGAAAGTACCCCAAAGCCCAAACCCTAAACCCCAAACCCTCAACCTTCAACCCTGAACCTGAAACCCTAAGCCCCGAACCCCAAACCTGAAAACTCATGAACCCTAAACCCTCAAGGTGTCATGCCGTTGGAGATCGTAGGGATACCTTATGTCGAAGTCCTTACAATAAGGATCCTACTTTTTAGGGTACTATATCAGGGTCCCCCATTCTCCGAAACTTCCATATCAGTGCTTAGAGCGTCGGGGAATGGTTTGGGCATCGCTGTGTTTTCAACGTTCGAGAATCCTATGCTTTATGGTGTAGTGCTGATGGGACTTCAGGTTCACGCCTTATAGGGTTGAATCTGTATGGTTTGGTTCGGCTCGTCTACCATGTTTTTCTTATGTCTTCGGCAGATTGCGCTTGGCCTGAAGGAAGCGACGGGTGCTTTGGTAGTCTATCCTGGAAGAGATGCGCCCTGCTGTGCACGAATATCACTGGATTTTGACAGCTTCCTAGGATGGTGGCCGAGACTGAACTAGCATCATAAACTGAAGGGTCTTATTGGGGTGTTCGGAAATTTTCTACACTGTTATTAGCTGCTATCATGTCAAAATGTCCGGTAATTGCCACTCTATAGACATGCGCTGATATATATAAATATATGTATAGAACTAACACTAACCTCATCCCAGCAAAAAGTTCGACAGATCCATCAACAGCCTGCGAGAGAGACCTTGTGATGTCTGTTTCTGGATCTGTGCAACGACAGACCGAGCAGCAATCGATTTAGGGTTTTCGGGTTTGGGCTTGAAGGTTTAGGGTTTTGGTTTTTGAGGTTTAGGCTTCAAGGCCAGCAAGGTTTGCACGAACCAGCTATGAAAACCTCTCGAAAACCCTGGTGCAAGGAGCCCCCATCGATCCCAAGCAACCGCTGACGCGCCGTGGACGCACAAGCTTGCGGTTTTTGACATGGTTCGTGAAGTTCTTTGAAGTTGTTTGTCCCTGAGCCGGAGCCCAGAGTACAGCTTACTTCTACCTCTTAAACCGGAGGGTTCTGGCACCCCAAACCCAAAACCCTAAACCCAAAACCCTACACCCTAAACCCCTTTAGATCCCTTACAGGAACCCTGAAAGAATCCCTCAAAGGAACCCTAAACCTCAATGCAAATACCCCTCAACCTTTCAATCCTAAAACCCTAAACCCATAAACCCCTAAACCCCTAAACCCGTTATAACCTTTTTCCTAAAACCCTAAACCCGTAAACCCAAAATCCTAAAACCCCTAAAATCCTTCAAGCCCCTAAACCCCTATAGATCCCTTACAGGAACCCTTGAAGAATCCCTTAACGGAACCCGAACCCCTAAACCCCTAAAACCCTAAAAGGCCCTAACCCAAAACCCTGCACCCTAAACCCCTATAGATCTCCTACAGGAGCCCTTAAAGAATCCCTCAAATAACCCTAAAACCCGAAAAGGCCCTAATTCCCCTAAGCCGAGGCTGAAGCTTCGAGAGATGCGCTCTGGCTCTGAAAGACCCGTCCACTTCGACGTAGCGGGGGAGGTGGCGGAGAGTCCACTGGGGTTTTGGGTTTAGGGTTTCAGGGTTTGGTTTTAGGGCTTTGGGCTTAAGGTCCAGAGTTTGGGGTTTTGGGTTTTGGGTTAAGAGTTTGGGATTTTGGTTGCAAGGTTTAGAGTTTGGGGTTTTGGTTTTAGGATTTTCGGCTTAATGTTTAGAGTTTGGGATTCTGGTTTTAGGGTTTAAAGTTTGGGGCTTAGGGTTTGGGGTCTAGGGTCTTAGGATTGCTAGAAGGCGGTTCAGGGTTTTAAGGTCCAGGGTTAGGGTGGGGGGTTTGCTAAGGTTCTTTGCTGGTTCTAGAAAAGGCTCTACAGCAGGGTAGGTCTTGAGGTCTTTCTGAAAGTCCTTCGGGTTATTCAGACCTTCAAAGTCTAGGGCATAGGGATTCGGGGATTTGGGAGGTCTGGCCGATAAACCATAATGACTGAGCCCCTTACGACCGCTTTAATATAGCAAGACTGTCTAATAAATCCACAAAAAATGTCGAAACCCTATAACTTTATCAGCGTTTTCAGCCTGCAGGCCGAAACCCTAACTAACCTCGCCGGATCTTTCGGCGTTTGCTGTTGAAGGCCTGCGATTCCAGGCTGCGGCTTTCGTGAGATTTCAGGATGTTCGCAGAAGGAGGGCAATGCCGGTTCTTTGAGGGACCTTGTGGCTTTAGGGTTCCAAAGGTCTCGGGGTTCTGACTCTACTTGAAGGTTCAGAGGTAGTTCTAAGTGGGGTTATAAGGCCCCTAATATGGGTTATACGCATAGTTACACTGATTATAGCCCTAGTTATACATACCCATATGAACCTCCAGTAGTAGAATGGTATTTTCAGGGAGTGTAGAGCGGATAAAGGATGATGGGTTCCAGGCTAGTCCTACCTTCCGAGATCCTCTACAAAGCGCTTAGAGCACTTTTTGCCTATAGAAGCCTATAGTTTAGGGTTTAGGGTTTAGGGGTTTAGGGTTTAGGGGTTCAGGGTTTAGGGGTTTAGGGTTTAGGGTTTAGGGTTTACATAATGACCAATAATGCTCCTGAGGGCTTGCAAGCTAAACCCTAAACCGCACTTTGCACAGCATGACTGGCAGGGAGAAGCAGAATGCCATGCGAGGTTTTCGCAAACCACTCACAACAATTAATCAATCAGACAACTCTAAAAGTAAAACAAGATTCCTAAAGCCATAGAATCCTCAACCCCGACAAGACCCAATCTCAATCTCTTTGCTTCGCGTCTCGTGCGACCTCTCGCAGGTCTTGGTTGGCGATCTGCGCAGCGCGACACATCGCCCTTTGCCTCCCTCTTTGGGTTGAATGGGGGAATGGATGCTGAGAGTAGTCCCTACATAATCCCCAAGAATAATTAGTGTCCATAATTCATTCCCCCATTATAAAACCCTACAGAGCGCTTTAGAGCCCTTGGAGGAATCCTACAACCCCCTAGTTGGGTTTGCCCAGTCTACGGAATGGGGGAAAAGGTTATGGGGGCGATTATTGGGGATTATTTCGGGACTACTATATCCCCCATTCCCTAACCCCTCAACCCTATAGATCCCCTTAGATCCGCTTAAAGGATCTCTTAAAGAGACCCCAAATCCTCAAAGGGATGCATTCCCTACTAAGCACCAGACAGTCGGAAAGAAGTGAAGATCCGAGGACGTTTTCCTGTCGTGCTGGCCCGGAATGAGGCGGGTTCAGGGATTAGGGGTTTTGGGGTTTAGGGATTAGGGTTAAGGGTTTAGGTCCACGGAGCGCGGACTTTCAGAGATCTGCTTTGCAATGGCTGGGGCAAACTGTGATGACAACGTGGAGACATAGCAAGAAAAGAATATGATCTCTGTATTGCTCTGCATGGCATGGCCCCGAAGACTCAGAAGCAAGGTTTGGGGGGCTGCAGAATCGGTCTTGAGGTTGTTCCACACCTAAATCAAAGACCCTTCACCCCTAAACCTGTAGACCCTGGCTGTTGATGCCTCGTCGGGACCCTCTGGGCATCGGAGAAAAGGAGCTCAAAAAAAATTGTGGACCCCAAATTCGACGCCATCTTCGCAGGTGAAGCTTTATGTCATGGGACAGCTACTGGGCATCAGATCTGCAGGGATCTTGCGAACATTATTGGGGTTCGGGTTTCTGAAATTTCAGAGTCAGGCTTTACTTTACTGCTCTCAGCAATTATGTTTCATTTCCTTTTACTCGAACTCAAGGGGGTTAATCAGAATGTATTTTTCATTTTTGGTTCTAAGGGCGGCTAAGCGTGGGCCGTAAACCTGAAGCCTTTGAAGCCTTGAACCGTAAACCCTAGGGCCCCTAGGCTAAACTCTAAGCCTTACACCCAAGACCGCAGACCCGGGACCGCCGTCGAGATGTTGATTTAGGCTGGGGCTACGAAGCTCAGGCACGCGCCATTCCTCTGGAAGCCTGAACCCAAAACTCCTCACTGGCCTGAACAATTAGAATAGGGTTTGAGGGTGAAGCGGACTGAACGTCGGGGCGAGCAAACAGAAACAGAGTGACAGGTGCAACCTCTTGAACAACAACTCTCAGAGCAAATCAAGCTCTAAGCTTCTCAACGATACGACTAACAGATTGAGTCATGTATGCTATACCTTAATCCCAAATAACCTAGCGTTTAGGGACTTATATAAAGAAATCATATTAGGGGGCCCAAAAAAGGTAGGTTCCTTAGGGTCCAGGTATTTATACTAAGGAACCTCAAAACCCTAGTTTGTATCAGGGGTCAGAAAGACTTTTGGCTCTGTTACAACTAGGTTTGCGACTAGTACCCTTTTGCACTTTTCATTGTACGGTTCCCTTTTAAAATCTGAGTAAGCGGGAAAAGGGTGCCCTCATTATTTAGGGGTCACTCAGGAACCTAGACAAGGCACTTTCTACATGTTGGTGTAGACCCAGAATTGAGAGGAGATATATTTCTTTTGGCAACCCAGATGACAGGAGTTGTCAAGGGAAGCCGGGACTGCACCGGCGGGCTACATTAGGCAAGTGGGACAAGTCTGTCTTTATCTGGAACATTGCAGGGTTTCTGGGGTTGCAGATTAAGCACAGATGATGAGAAATCTACATGGATTGCAATAGTAGTCATCCGAATATCAAGGCACTTAAAACTTAAAGTCTTAAAGTACTGGTTCTTTAGGCAGGCATCTGCACTCAGGTCTTAAGGAGCCGGCCAGGATCCATTTGTTTGAGTTACTACAGCATTCCGGCCTCCACACCCTAAGAAGTCCATCCATGAACACGAAACACTGAAACCTGAAAGCCCTTAAACCACCGAGTGCTCAAGCCGTAGCGACCTGCACCCCTGCACATAGGCCCCATAGCAGTTCCTTCTGGGGATGACCTTATAGGGTTCTAAATATGAACCCCAGAAAGGAACTACTAGGGCCTATGGGTACACACACAGAGCCCGAAGTATCCGAGGCTTCTGGAAAACGACCTCCAGCCCCTCTTCAGTATCCGTGGCATCTACGAACCTTGGCTGCAGTTTTTGGAAAAACCCTGGAGTGTTGCTCTTGTGAATCCGGGCCACAGTGCAGGATTCGAAGATTCTGATCCAAGTATAGCCCCGAATCGCCGAACACGCTGTAACCCCCTGACTGAAGCAACTACTGCCTCGATATCCTTAGGCTTCCAACATCCACAGACGTAAATCCGAATCCCCGAGGCCCGAAGCCCTAAGCCCCAAGCCCACGACGTCCAGAGTCCCGGCAAAACACACCGCGAGGACGGCGCCACTGTGAACTTCATGCCGGGGAAGCGCTTTGCCGAGTCCAAGGCCTCCCTCGGCTTCCCAAAGTTGAAAAAACTGAATCAAAGGGGAGTAGGAGGGACCCTTAATGGGGACCCCTACCCTCTAATGGGCTATATAATGGGTATCTATAATAGCTATATGAAGGGTGCATGTACCCATATAGTATATACTTTGGGCCAATGTACCTATATAGGGAGTACTTTAAGGCCGAAGTATATACTATTTGGGTACACGGACCCTTAGGCAAACTCAATCCACCAGGACCCCGTCAGCGGCCCTTGAATCGATTCCGAAACCCCAAAGCTTTAAATTCCTAAAGCCCCTAAATTCCCCTTAACTGCAGGTATTTGGGTGGGTATGTTAGAGAGTCTAGGTAGGGGCGGCCGCAGGGATTCGAAGGGGGGGAGGCATATTATGTGGTATTCATAACAAGGAACCCCTTAAACACTATTGTAATTATTAAGGCCCCTACATTACATACCAGGATAGTTCTCTAAACCTGTATGGGGCTTAGACTAGGGTTCTTTTTATGGGGTTCTTCAACGGGTTTGTTGAGGGATCTATGTTCGGGTTTGTAGGGTAGTTCTCGATCAGGGTGCCGTACTATTTTGGTGGCCGAAAAGGGACCGTAGTTTTTCAAAACTATCCATACAGAGTTGATGGTGTTCGGTCTTTGCGGCTTCAGGGCTTAAGGTTTAGGGGTTCAGGCTCGAGGTTTGATGGGTGGTTGTCGAAATTATGGTCCCTTTTTGGTCCTTATTTATGTTAATACGGCACTTATTATTTAGGGTACCCCAAAAGGTACCTTAATGTTAACAGCTACCCTGATGGTATGGGGTATCACGACGATATGCACAGTCGGTAGAGGTCGCTGCAAATTTGGTCAAGGCTTGTGCCGGGCCTGTGATGCACAATCACGGGGTGGGGGGGTAGGTGACTATACTCCCTTCAATATACCGTGGCCTTAATTCCCTATATGGTACATCGGGCCCAAAAGTGTATACTGTTTGGGTATATGGACCCTTAGGGTTCAAGAACCTGCGATCTGAGTGGAGCTGTTGTTTCTCGATCCCTGGTGGCTAGCAAGCCCTGCGCAAACTCAAGGATCGTAAAGCTTGAAAAGCCCTAAACATCCAAGCCTTGCAGAAAGCACCCTTTCAAAGAAGCTCGAACGACATGATGCTCCCCTAAATAACACTGAACCCTTTCAACCGAAAGCTCTACATGAAGCTCCTTTTTCGGCGCTTTCCGTTGCGTGCATCCCCTGTTCCAGGAGCCATCACGCTGGGGCCTTCGACGTTGCGGGGTGTTGGGGGGGGGGGGGTAATGCCCATAGGCCCCGTATTACTTAGCTCCTTTTTAAAGTTCATATTTAGAAGCTTATGAGGTAATCCCAAAAAGGAACTACTATGGGTGGTTACTGTATAGAAAGCGAGATACATTTGCCAACATTACGTCTTCGGGTTCCTTATTATAACTGTGACTTGTTCAATATACCCCTGAAGCCCCATTCAATTCATTAAGGCCTTGGGGCTTTTGACAAGAGTTGGAGGAGGTTTCTTGAGGTATTAACATATGTTGCCTTACATCCTTTGTGTTACCCTGGGGTACCTGGATAGTAGAATGCTAGCCATATAGTATGTAGGCCAGTAACCCAATATGTAGGTAAGTGGAGCCCTAAGGTTAGACCGTGGGTTTAGGATGTGCGGCTGCAGCGTTTGGGGTTCCAGGTCCATGAAGTTGCTGGATTTTAACATTTAGGGAACCACAAAAATTGGAACATGCGTTTAGTATGGAATGTGCTAGGATCCCTTATACTTCACCTGGAGGCCATGGGGATTACAATGCTCCAAGTTTATGACTTTAGTAGAAGTTGAACCATTGGGCAAAGCTTCAAGGCCAAAGCAAGTCCTGGAATACTAAGTACAGCCCCTATTGACGTGATGAGGGTGTTGGTGAGTGTCTGTGGGGCTCCTTCGGAATACTCCTGAATAGGTAGGGAGTTTCATCGAAGCGAGGTGTCTTCTCAACTGGATCAACTGCGTAAGCGCATGTTGGACGTCGAGCAAGGCCTGAAGAAGTTGCACGGACAACACGTAACCAACTACAACAAGTGCATGGATCGCTTCGAGCGCACTGCACTGGATTGTTCTGAGAGAGTTGCACAGATGCAACGGAGCTTGGAGAAGCGGGAAGCCAGGTTGGGATGTCTCGAAAGACATTGTCGCGAAATGTTGGAATAACAGACTCTTCACAAAAAGCAGCTCGCTTGCTGTCGGCTTCGCTGGGATTTCGCGCAGCGCCGGAGCTCGCGGTCGTCGCGAAGGATCTGCGGGTTCTTCCTCCTCGTCCAACAGAGCGACGGGAAGAGCATCCAGTCGCTGTCCGTCGGAATTGGGAGTCCTTATGTCCGTGCACGGCCCGATTGATTGGGCATGGAGACAGAGGTTTCGAGTTCGTTGAAGGTCTTTTCGATGTTTTGCTTGCAAGTATAAGCTTTAAATCGATACCCGAAACAGAAATCCCTCACCGAAACTAGAAGTAAATTCCCGATGACACATTCCTGCATGATCCATAGAAAGGAATGATCGGGAACGCGTTTCTTTTCGGAGGTTCATGGGGTTATAGTAGGGCTATAAGTAGGGTAACTGTACTTATAACCCATATTAGGGGACTTTGGCCCCACTTATAACTACCCCTGAACCTCGAAGCACAGACGCTTTTTGAACCCCTCAACCGGCCCTGCACTCCCAAAGGCTCCATGTACCTTTACAGTAGATACTTTAGCCTTAAAGGTGTCCCTATATAGGTACTTTAGGGCCTAAGTATCTACTATGTGGGTGCATGGATCCTTTGGGACTTTGGTCCATCACCCCATTTAAGACCTGTAGGCCGCAGATCCGCTCAACCTGCCCGAAGGTCCTTCAGCCCTAAACCCCCTAGACCCCTAAGCCCTAAGCCTTAAAGCCGAAAACAAAGCCCTAAAAACCCCTAAACCCCTAAGCCCTAAAGTCCTAAACCCTGCCAATCCAGGTTGCGCCACCCAGTGCAAGCAGAAGCTCCGAATTAGCGGCAAGTACAATCACAACGATCTGCACCTTGGCTGAGAACTGGCCCAAAGGGTCCAAGTAGTTTAGGGTTCGGGTTTTGGGTTTTGGTTTGAAACAAAAGGGTCCAAGTACTGGGTATTGTATATACTGTTGGGGCCCAAATATTTATTAAGTCGCTACTAAATTGACACGGAGCTGAATTTCCTCTTGAAGCAGATACTTTGCACCGGACCCCCAAATTCCGCCAAACTCTGTTCTGCTTAAACTCCTCCTGCTATTTATGTTACAGGCGTTTCGGAAGATAGGGTCCGGAGCTACCAATACGCTAGATGTGGTAGACTTTGCCGAAACCTCAATAACACCCTAAACTCTTAGCCCACATGATGCCTATTGAAATACAAACTCTTAACTCTCTGATGTCCCTTAAAATCCTGCTAAAAACTATTCCTTGACTCACCGAAACTGCCCTTATAAACCCTAAAGCTGATAAAAACCTACTCTTCAAATCTCCTTTCAGACAGCCCTTATAGACCCCAAAACTGCTAAGAACCTACTCTTCAACGCGCGTTTAAACAGCCCTTATAAGCCCTAAACCTGCCAATAATCATAGGGATTTTTAGGGGGGTAGGGGGAGGGGGGGAAGGGGGCCTTCATGCCCATAACAAGGACTTGAAGGGCTTGTTTGAAGGAAAGAAGTATGTATAGTCTCCCCCTTACCCCCCTAAGGGTCCCTATGACATAAATGCTCTTTCAGTCCCCTTTATTCCTTCAAACCCCTAGACCCTTGAACCCTAAGCCCTCCTAAAAACCCACTCTTTAGCTCCCCTTCTCCCTAAACCCGTAGACCCTGTTAAAAGTGTGCGCCCACATAGGGTTATCGTATCCTTGTGGCAGGGGGCACCAAGGCGAGTAGATAACCTGCTAATCCCGAGTTCTCTCTGGTGCTCCCTAAGGTTCCCTTCAGGTTCCTAAACCCTAAAACCCCTCCCCAAGGATCCCTTGTACCTAACCACTTTATTCCTCGTTTTTGAGGCACCTCAGCGACCTCGAAGACCTTGTCCTGCGGTGCGCGTTTAACGGGCGGTTCACCTAGGGTTTTTTGGGTTTAGGGCTTTTAGGGTCTAGGGCTTTTGGAGTTTAGGGTTTTTAGGGTTCTAAAGTTAGGGCCCTCTTTCGGTTGTGGGGCTATAAGGGGTTTAGGGTTCCTCTTGGGTCTCTTTAAGGGACTTTTAAGGGGTTCTTTAGGGGTTTAAGGGTTTGGGGTATTGGAGGTTCAGGGGTAGCTATACATGGGGCTATAGGATCTTTTAAAGGGTTCTGTAGGACTTTATGGTGGATTTTTTAGGGTTTAAGGTAGTTGTGAGTTGGGTTATGAGTCCCTTAATATGGATTATAAGTATAGATGCCTTACTTATAACCGCCCCTGAACCTTCAAGTAGGGTTAAGGGTCTAGACTAAGCTCCCTTTTTCGACCACCAAAATGGTGCGGCAACCCTGAAAGGGACCCAGAGAACGACCCATTTGTGGTTTCTTTGGGGATGTTGAGTTGCTTGAGGTTTCAGGGGTTTGGGGCTTTTGGGTTTAGGGGTTAAAGGGTTGCAGTGTCAAATATGGAGGGTTTTCTGTGTAGTTGCAAAATACTTTTTCGGTGACATTCTAGTTTTAGAATCCCGTGTATTACACATAGGCTCCATAGTAGTTCCTTTTTGGGATTACCTTATACGTTTCTACATATGAACACAGCTTAGTTCTGGCCAAGGATGTGTTTGGAGATTTAACAGGTCAAGGCCATGGGGCTCTGGGGCTTGGGCTGGTTCTATCCAGGGTTCAGGATTTGTATTTGGGGGGTAGGGCGAGGGCTTTCTGCTAGTAGGATTGAGGCTTCCAACCTCATAACGCTGTTTGAGGTCCTCTATATCTATCCACGAATGACCTGTGCATGTGGGATTCTCTCGAAAGTGGAGGAATCGCTGTCATAGCTGGAGACGGCTAGCTGCTTAGAGCCCGATCGAGATCTGCAACCCAATGACTCAACCCTATAAATCCTAAGCCTTAAACCCTCAACCCTTAAACAAAGAAACCCTCAACCCCAAGCCGCTCAGAAACAACTGGTCGCAGAGCTCCGCAGCTGCACTGAGTCGACTGTTCCCCAAAACCGAATATCCAACATCCCTAGCCCTATATAATCCTAAACCCAAAAAGGCTGCCAAGTGTGCAAGCCGGGACACGAAATCCCAATACGGAGTTAGGCCCCAAAAGACCACCGTCGTCATTGTTTTAGGGACGTAAAACCATAATAGTAGCATTTTCTGGACCGCTTGGTTATTTCGCAGCATTACAATCTATGGACTACAGCAGAAAGTATCACTTAAGTAGTTCATTTTGTATAGTAATGTTTTGCAAGAATGAAGCATACCGGGAAGTCACTGAAACCCTAAACCGCAAAACTCTAAACCCTATAGCCTACTTAAACTCTCAGCTCCTAAACCCTACACCCTTAACCCCGATAGGAAACAAATCCCTACACCCTAATCCCTGCATCCTAAACCCTCCCTGAAGCAGTTCAACATACAACCTCCCTGAAGCCAGGACACGGATGACGAGGAGGTCGTGGAGGTCGATGCAAACGTAGAAGCCTTGGTTTTTTTTTTTTAGGGGGGGGGGGGCGGTTTTGGGTTTCTGGCGTAAGCCCTCACCTCTAGGCTCCATTGTAGTTCCCTTTCGTGGTTCCTCTTCAGGATCCTGTGAGGTAATCCCAAAAAGGAACTACAATGGAGCCTATTGGTAACTCTAGCCCGTCAACCCTGAACCCTGACGCAGAGTTTAGAGACTGAGGGTTCGGTTGGTGATGTCGAGGCCTTTGACCCAAGCCCGAAACCCTGGCCAAAATGGTTCAAGGTTCTCTTGTTGGTGGGAAAAGCCTTTCTACCCCAAGCATTAACTAGCCATACTTAGAGTCTCGGTCGTATTTTTCTTGGTTACCTAACTCCTGCCTGGTAGCTGAGTGGGTGCACTTTACACTGTTTGTCACATATTGCCCACCATAAAACTAGAAGTATACTTCTTTGGGGACTCAGCGACTAAGCATTTCTTCACATGGAACGAGAAGGATGGCTAGCAAAGATGATCTAGAAACGAGACTCGCTAGGCACAGCCCTGCTGTAAAAAAGCTTTCGAAGTCCTTTGCGCTTGAAGCCCTAAGCCTTAATCCATCAAATACTCATCGTGATCAGAGCCTCTTTGCTTGTTTTCGAACTTGTCCATGCAGGACTGACGGTTTAAGCTTAATTAGGGCTACCAACTGCGTGTAGCAGCTACCCGAATCTATACGGCTCTTAGAACCCTCACGTGCTGAACCGGCTGGCCCCCTGCTCTGCATCTTTTCCCGGCGCCAGCAGCAGACGCGAAACTCCAAACACCGAGCCCTGGAAACCACACACCCTTAACCCTAAACCGTGAACCCTTGGCAGACATGATGAACACCTTTGCAACGACTAACAAACTCCGTATAAACACGGAGCGCTAGTGGACTTGACTAACAAGCTCCGTCTAAACACGGAGCCTTAGTGGACCAGCGTTACTCTTGGAGCTCACGGCTGTTACCTAACCCAAAGGGTCCAAGTATCACTATGGTATATACTTAGACCCCCAAAATACCCTGTAAGTATATACCATAATGAGACTTGGACCCTTTGTGTAGCACAGCCACCCAGGTGTCTCCCCGCTCCAATGGCAAGAAGTCTTTCTCCAGGCGCGCGAGACAAATTTTTCGTCGCTGCTTTATTCAGAAGCCCACCATAAGATTTGAAAGGACCGCACCATAAGACTTGAAGGTACAGTTGAAAAGGCAAACAATTCAGGGTTCTACGTCGATACCCTAAACCCAAAGCCTTGGACTCTAACCCCTAATCTTGTTTAGGGCTCTATTGTCTTCTGAACCTCCCACATTACTTCAGGCTTTGGGGCTTTAGGGCACTTCAGGGCTTAGAGCTGTGGCCCTTGTCCAAGGCAGGTTTCTCCGGACTCCACCACGGCCTCGAACGCTTCGGCGCGGACCTGGGCTGTCTCTTTCTTTGGGGGTTGGTGCGCGAGTCGTTTTCGGGCTGCGTTTTTTTTGACTCGCTGTTGCTGTTGAAGTGTTGCCCTGAAACTTGGGTACGGCCCCCCCACTCAGTAATAATGTTGAATAAGAAATATTAGGACCTGAGTAGTAGCCCTATGACAGACTATTACTGTATGGGGGCAGTACCTAAACTAAACCCTAAGCAACGGTCTCAATGTTGTGTGTAGGAGTTCCACAGCTGCGGAGTCGCAAGGGCTTTCACCGCACTTGTCTTCGTTTTTCTTACCCTTGGTTAGTGGGGAATGGAAGAATGGTCGTAATAGTAGTATAATTGTATCCCATTCCACCATTCCCTACTAACCAAAGGTAAGTTATAGGATTAATAAGGCCCCTAAATTATAGATCCCTTATACGAACCCTTATAGACCCTTTTATAAGGCCCCTTTCATTCCCTACTAGCCAAAGGTAAGTTTTTGCGGAGAGAGTCTTCTTCGTGGCGTGAGAAGCACTCGATTCTGGGAACTAGCGGTAGTTTAGGCGTTTTTTGGGGGTGGAGATTGGGGCGGTTACGTAAACCCCCCCAAATACGTAAAACAATGGCGCAATACCCATAAAAGGCTATTATTCTACATACTTTTGGGGTCCAGGTAGGGTGATTGGATGCTAGCACGCTCAGTGGTTTGCAGGACTTTGAATGAGTCTGGAGGCGTGGGGTGTAAGTGGGGGAGGCCTTGGGGGTGCAAGGTCTATGCATCGGGTTCTACTGGTCGCATTGCTGGAGAGCAGTGCAAACACAAGCCCGACTCGCCGCAACCCTGCGACCTCCCTTAACCCCATATCCACATGGGGAGCTTGCTGCAAACTCCTAGGTGCCTGGTGTTGCTCCGCAGATCTTAAACCCTACCCGTACAAATCTAGAGAAATCTTACGCCGTTTATCCTAAACCCATCTCTCAGTACTTCCATCTCCCGCCCAGGGGGACGAAACCGTCGCCAGGCCGGAGCGGCCTGGGGTCTACTATACGGTGCTTTTATGGGGTTCTGCGAGAGGGTCTCGAGGCTTACGTAAATCTCGGTAACTAGGTGGCTCGTCAGTAGCGTTCTCGATTAAGAAGGCTGACCACTCAACATGATGTACGAAGGCCCCAATCTAAAGTAATAGGGGCCTAAATAATTACCTACACTATTTAGGGGGCTCCCTATTAATTATAAGTATAGTGTAATAAAACCCTCTTCTAATTATTAAGGCCCCTATAATACAGGTGCTTTCATGTCTGCCTTTACTTAGGTCTTAGGTGTGAGAGGAGAGTTGAGCGGTCGTGGGTTTGGGCTTCGAGGGTTCGCGGGTCAGGTCCTGGTCAAAGCATAGGAGCCTGGACAACTGGTCTTCCTGTCCATAGTAGAGTAGGTAACCTTTAACCTTTTTTGGGCAGTATATAGTCCCTATAGGATCCCTAAAGACCCAAAAAGGCGGACCTTTAGTTCCCAATGATTTCCGACAAGTAGAATTACAATAAGGGTCACGCAAGATAGCTCGGGTAGCAATGCAATATGGCTTGTTCTCCACATGAGGATGCCTTTTAATTTTAGGACCTGTTTATAAGGGTGCCACACCCTTAGAGACCCTTATTTGCAGCGTCTCTGTTATGCTAACCGCCTGGCCGACAGCTTCCTCCCAGCCGCTGGGGGTTTGGTCCTGCCCACAGCTTTGGGGATGTGCAGGCCTAGTGGCTTCAGCGTTTCTGACTGTTTAGGGATTAGGGTTTACCCAGCGGAAGCTGAAGCTCTTACGATTTCGAACCCACCATCTCGTGAATCTGAATGCAGAATCGTAAACCAAAATGGGAGTTTCCGAAAATTAGGGGATACCTTATTTTGGGAGCCTTATAATAAGGATCCTACTATTGAGGATTATTTAGGGTACTAAAATAGGGTCCCCTGTTTTCGGAAATTCCAAAGTGTGTTCGGGTGCGCCGCCCACCCAACGTTTTGCTTTTCAGTTCTCGGCAGGCAGCTTTCCAAGGGGAGCCGGAATTCGCAGCCAGCCAGGCCTGGTCCGGGCTTAGGGTTGAAAGCCGTGGCGGCAACAGATCCCGGCTTGCTACGGGGGCCTTAACAACTCGACAGTGCACCATGAATATAGTAAGGATCCGCAAAAGAGTATAGGTAATTTCAAGGCCCCTATATTACGCGAAGCCGTTCGGGGCTTCGCGGGCATACTGGTTGTCATGCTGCTGGAGTCTGGGATGCAATGTCATGATACATGTTCGAGTTGTTTCCTTGACCAGCCTGCTCTCCGCGCATTGTGTGCCCAGCAGATGGGGCAGAAGTGACCCATCTATGCCCAGACCCTGAACGATAAACCTGATAAACCCCTACGCCAGCCGTAAACCCTAAACCCCTAGACCCTAAACCCCCATGCCCTAAGCTCTAACTACAGGCAATCAAGCCCGAAGCCGGCACTGTAAAGGGAACTCCAGAAAGTTGGAATATGGAATAATGGCAGGATCCTCTATAATTTACCGAAAAGGGTTGCATCATGACGCATGTCGCAGGCTCGTGCCTCAAAAGGCTTTTGGCTGACAGTTTCCTCGCAGTTTCCTCCTCGCAATGTGCATCGCTATAGGATGTTGTATTTTTTCCTGAAATACCCCAGCCTCTAGCACGACCTCTCACATTTCCTAAAACTGCTACAGTACAACTTCTAGTACGGAATTACAATTTAAACACGTCTACTGGGACTCCCCAGATTGGCATTGTTCGAAGGCATCTACCCAGTGCCGGGGGCAACGGAACACGTGATGTCGTGCCGACCGCTGTGGCCTCTCCTACTGGCACAGGCTCTACTCGCACGAGGGAGCTTGCAAGACCAAGGCCAGAGATTGAACGATCATATGGTCCGACTTTGCCACAACAGGCAGCACTGCGTGGAGTCGGGTGCTAGCGCCACGGCGGGTGGTCATGGCATTCGGGTGAACTTCATGTGCGGACCGGCGGGCTGGACGGAGGAGTCGAAGAAGAAGCACGCAAAGACCCACAGCAAGAATGACCTCAGGTGCGACACTGAGCAGTACCATTTCCATGTGGAGCAGTCTAGCAGCAACATCGTGGTGACCTTCAAGTGCCCCAGGGTTAATGGCCAGCGACAGTACTGCAGGATTCCCGCATTCGGCTCGAGTTTTACTGCTCCTGCAGCGGCGTGCTGCAAGCTGATGCAGACAAAAGCCAACATCGAACTGGCGGCAGTTCTCGTCAAAAAGGCTCGCGAGGAGTTGTGACTGAGTCTCAGCAAGCAGCACAGGATGATATGCCTGAAGGAGAAGTCTCACTTCTCATATCTTTTCATTGCTGTGCTTTTCTGTGACGCACTGGAGCGTCCCATGGAGGCCCGGGACAAATCACAAGGCACATCGCAGCTATAAGGCCTTGGAACCTCTCTGCTCCGAGGAGCGTGCTGAGGCTGCAATTCCCTTGGATGCCTTGGTACTGTCACAGAATGTGCCTTTTGGTTCATGCCATGGCGAAAAGGTGGTGAACACGCACATCCGAATCGGCTGGATAGCAACATGTGTGTTACGCCAATTGTTGCGTTGGATGACCAGTGATGTTCACCATTCTGCAGGCCGCCGCTATTTGATGACGATCCCAAGGGTCCAACACAACAGCATGCAGGGAAACGGTTCGAAGGTGCTTCTTACCTAGTAGTAGTATAGGGAACCTTTAACCTTTTTTTGGGTAGTATATTGACTATATAATCCGTATATAACCAAAAAGGTTAACCTTTAGTTCCCCATGATACCCGATAAGTAGGATTAGAAGCTTGACCACTGGGTTCATTGTTGGAAGCATGAAAAAACAATCAAACCTTGTTTTACTTAGTCAGGCCCTATAGTAAGCTGTTTCAGGATCAGCTGAGGCTCGCACTCCTATCTAACAGCCGAACCCGAAGTGCTTGCAGCTAGGTCCCAAGCGCTATAGTCCAGGCTGCAAGGTTCACAGGGGTTTTTCTACAAGCTCTAAAGTTCTAAGGCCTCAACTTGCTTGGGGGAGGAATCTGATCAGTAGGTTGCCGAGAATCTTCGCCCCCCGTCCCGGAATGCATTTTCAACAGGCTGTTTAGCAGTCTCACTGAAGGCTTTCCCGGTTTCGGGTTCAGGGCCGTTCAGAGTTCAGGGTTTCTGAGCAACACATGGTTTTAAGCCTTGAGCCATGTTGGGTGGTTCATATGGCTGTTACGAGCATGGTTTCTCAGTGAATGGGAACGCTTGATACAGACCCCCCCCAGAGAAACCCTATAAAGCCTAAACCCTAAACCCATTTCCAGTCAAAGGTCCAACAGCTCTGAGACTTCGAAAAGAGTGCATCTTCAGACTCCAACACCCCAAACCGCGGCCCGAGCCACCATGTCGTTGTTTGCATACTAAACCCTCAGGCCTGGACTCTGGCCCCAAAGCCTACACGAAGTCGCAAGTACATGATCGTAGGTTTGGGATTCGATTGAAGACGCCCACCAAGCAAAACCCCGAAATCGCCAGTCAGCCTATACCCTCCACTGCAAAGGTTGATCGTGTCTTTGTTGCCTTGTACTTGCAGGATTTTAACGATGAGAATGGCTAACTAGACAAGCAACTACAATGGAGGCTGAAGGCTCGGCGGACTCCACAGGGTCCTCTACGGTTGTCTGTATGAGCTCTACGACATAGGAACCGTACGAATTAGAGCCGTGCTTCGGAGTACGTAGTTGTTGCTGGGTGGTTGTGTTGCCCTGAAAGTCCATGTACCCAAACAGTACAAACCAAGGCCCCAAGGTATCTAGATAGGGACTACTTTAAGGCCAAAGGTTATATACTATTTGGGTACATGGGCTCTCAGGGTTGTAGCATCATCACAGGAAGGAGCGCTAAGGAATATAGTAATTATTGGTAGTTGCTCAGGCTTATTGCATTTTTCGCAGATTGTCTAGGGCCCTGGTAGGCGGTGGCCATGTAACAATGTAGGACACTTGGACACTCAGTTTGCCAGTAGTTGCTACCACTGCTATGTCTATCATTTCTGTACCCTCTAAGCCCTAAACAAACCCTTCCATATAGGTTGGTACAAGGACACGTGTTTGCGGAGCCAGGATGGTTTCAAAAGGTTCGGCGAAGAATGCCCCAGCCCCGGCAGAGAGCTAGGATTGGGGTTCGGCACGGGGCTTTGTTTCGGACTTAGGGAGAAGAGAAACTTAGTGTTTTGCGCTTCTAGGGGATAGGCTGCTTTATAGGAGGTGTCTGGCTTATTCGGTTACCTGCCTAGGAGGGCGGTGACATTGTGCATGAGGTGTCTTGAAGTTTGATGCAAGGAAGTTCGAGTTCCAGTTTTTAGACCAACGTTGATGTTTCAGGATCAAACCTTGAGGCTGTAGGCTGCGGTGTTTTAGGGTGTGGGGCTTAGGCCTTGTTTTACCGGATTCACGGCGTGGCGGTTTAGGGGTTTGGTTTATGTAATTAACTATCTCCTACATGGGTACCCAGATCATCCAATTTACCTTCGTTAAGGTGTGTTGCCTCTTTGCAAGTATGACTCATGACGTCTTATACGCCACAAAAGAAGAACGCTAAAGATCTATGTAGGCAGGAACACAGACGACAGAACTTTGGTTGCCAAGCACTCAGCCTCTTTGTGTTGTAGAACCATTATAGATACAGACACCCTGTCATAGGCACCCTTATATACAGCCATTACAGGTGCAGACTTGTAGAGCCCTTTATATCGCAGATAGAACTCTTCAGAGAACCTCTGCATTAGTGGGCCAAGTCTGTTTCCCAGGGCATCCATATACTGCCGTGGTGGAAGTAGGTACCATATAATTAAAGGATGGTCTTCCAGTGGCATAATTCCAAAATGGTACTAAAATGAACCTTCAGGGTTTGTTGCAGTAGATGATAGAAGGGCAGCAAGCGAAGCCAGCGCGCTCGACCAGCACGATTGAATACGCGTAATTTTGAAGAAGCCTGGATATTTACCAAGACTATTCGTTCGGGTTCCTTATGATTGTTATGGGGTCCTTAAGGGGTCTAGGGCCCTACCTATGAGGTCCTTGGAGGGATAGGGCTAACAGTACAAGGGAATATAGGTTTCTAAGGACCTGATCCCTAGGCCTCGTGCCGCTGCTATGCTCCCTGCCGCTGCGGTTGTGCTGCACGAACAGTGGCCGGGATCTTAGGGGTTTAGGGTAACTTTATCATAGTTGGGCAACATTTTACATATTTATGGGTACTTAAAGCCAATACGGAAAATCAAATTTGTAACCCTTCCGGTTTACATTGAAATGATTAGGACCTTAGAGGAAGCCTGGTCTTGAGAGTCGGGGTTTCCGACTAGGGGGGTTGGTTTAGGGGTTTGATCTTTGCAACAATCAACATGAATTCTCGGACTGAGCCGTAAAATCTCCCAAGCCTCCCAAGCCGTTCTTCACGCTGAACTGAATTACGGAGAACTGGAAATACATACATTGCTAGCTATGGTCACGACAACAAGAGCAAGAACACGCCGCGTGCATGTCTACAAAACACGTCATGATTAGGAGACGAGAATCCCTGATGGTCGATGGCCAGGTGTCTCCCGATGCTCAGATGGCCAGTGAAAAGAAGCAAGCATCCAAAAGCCTGAGTCGGAAGAAGTCGAAGGCTCGGCAGTCCCTAGTGGTCCCCTAAGCCCTGAACTCCTAAACCCTGAACCCCGAACCCCAAACCCTAAACCCTGGCCCCTTTCAGAATAACGAAACCCTAGACCTTGAACCTGAACTAAATCCTAAACCAGTAAAGCTTAGGGAAGTTCAGGATGAGGATGTAGGCGGGGCTCGGGGGTCTAGATTTACAAGGCTTAGGGAAAGCTCAGGCTCAGGTTTCGGAGTTTTGGCGCTAAGGGGGCTTTTGGGGGCTCTGGGGGTTTAGGAGTTTAGGGGTTTAGGGTTTAGGGGTTTAGGGGTATAGGGTTTAGGGGTTTAGGGCTTTAGGGCTGTGCACCTACTTTGCTTGTGCAGTGTTTTGTGTTTCGGATGGTTTACTGGGTTTCCCGCTTTCCCGCAGCATGGAGCTTAAACCCCCACCCTAAACGCCCAAGCCTCTCAAACCCTAAGAACCTCAAGCCTAAAGCCATGAACTCAGAACCCTAAAACCCTAAAACCCAAAATCCCAAACCCTCAAAGCCTAAAGCCCTAAAATCCTAAACCCCTCAAATCCAAAGCCCTAAAACCCTAAACCCCTGAAGCCCTAAACCCCCAAGCCCTCGAAGCCTATAAAGCCCCAAAATCCTAAACCCTCAGCCCGAGCCGCTCGAAGCTTCCGACAGGAGACGATGCCTCGGGTCTCCCAGAGGCGCTTTGAAGTGTGGTTTAATTTGGGGGCGTCCGTGCTTTAGGGTTTAAGGTAGAAGCCAGAAAGTTGGAATATGATTATCCTAACCCTTCTATGGTAAATTATAGGGTATCCTACCATGGAACCATATTCCAACTTTCTGGAGTTCCCTTTAAAGGGCATTCTGCGCAGGGCCACCAGGAGGCTACAGCACAGCAGTCAGCACAGTGTTTGTCAACATGTGCCTCCACTGCCACTCCGAAGTCAACAGCAGCTTCTGTTCAGGAAAAGGCAGTACCGCTTGCAGCTCCAGCACGTCCGTCAGTTGATGTGGCTGTCCAAGAAGGACCAATATCTATTATCGTAGATCAGTACGGGAGAGGTTTGCAATTCCAGTGTTATCCTTTAAAATTGAGGACTGGCCTGGACAGAAGGGGTGCAGCCGCCGAGAGAGTGCATCTTGCCAGACCATGATCGATGCGTTGTATACGCATGGGGGAACATTGGCTGGCTTCATGAGCCCAAAGGGCCCAAGTATCATTATGGTATATACTTAGACCCCCAAAATACCCTAGAAGTATATACCATAATGATACTTGGACCCTTTGGGGAGTGGACATCATCAGAGCCCTTGGCCTTGGACAGGAATGCGGAGCTGTCGCGGTTTGTGGCAATGTTAAGCTCCCGCCCCGCTTCCTTGTCGGTTTGATGCTTGTACCTTTTGCCGACCTCCATGTAGTTCAGTTTCGGATAATGCCCAAATTATCACCCAATTGGGTTGCTAGGTCTAGGTTACATAATATACGGGTAGTAACCTAGTATTGAGGCAACCGGGGGGCCCTAGGGTAGGCTTAAAACTATTTAGGTGACCCGAGCCCTAAGGTTGTCTTAAACCCTAAACCATAAACCCTGCCATTTAGCTAATCGGAGCCCGTAGGGTATTGTACGTGAAAGCATCGGTCCACCACCTGTACAGAGACTCTGGTTTGCTAGGTTTAGGCTTATGGTTTAGGGCTTAGGGTTTAAGGTTCAGGGTTGAAGGTCTCAGGGATACGGCTCTTCGGTTCAGTCCCGCAGCTGTACAGACCCCAGTAAAGGTGCAGAGCTCGCAGAGCAATGGTTTTGCGGCTGGATGTGTGCGCCGGCAATTCCATCAACTTCATGCCACAGCCCTGACCCAAAACCCTATAACCCCTAAACCCTAAACCCTAAACCCCTATTATAAACCCCTGAACCCTAAAGCCTCACAGTGCGAGGATAGATCCTGAACATCCCCAACATGAGTGTGATCTCGTGGTGGCCTCCCACTGTGGTCGTCGTGGTAGTGGTGTTTCTCTATGACGGTGTGGGTACTCTCATAACTCATAACCGTGTGTACATACATACATATACATACACATATACATATGCGTATACATATATATATATATATATACATCACCCTAAACCCTAATCCCTTTATATGCTGCAAGTATGATAAATTGTTTTGGCTTCTTTAGTCGAAGGTGCCCGCTGCTGCTGGATGCCGAAGCCTCAGGGGTCCCTGGTTCTCAGATACCTTCCGATGCATGGTCCCAGACCTCCACAATCCCTTAATTAAGGAATACTTGGAGGATCATGGGACTTAGTAAGCAAGGTTATAAATACCTTATCTGGGGTTATGAGTAGTTATAAGTATTGCTACCCTAGTTATAACCCTAGTTATAACCCTAGTTACTAAGTCCCACGATCCTTTGAGTATACCTTGAATCATAATAGGGTCCCACATATGATTTGAAGTATATTCCTCAATTAAGGGATTTTGGAAGGCTTCTAACGAGTACTTTATGGGACTACCTTAAGGGTTTAAGGGTCCCTTTAAGGGTATTATGACGGTTGTACGAGGGTTCTATGGGGTGGAGCCTCAATACCTATAGTGCTCAATTCCTTTTGTGGTTTGTATTTAGGATTGTAGAACGTAATCCAAAAAGAACTACAATGCGGCCTATAGCTAGTTTAAGGGTTTAGTTTGTAGAGCTTTTCCGAGGAGGCCCAAACTGAATGATTCTAGTAACGTACTGTATGCTTTAGAGGCTGCTCCCACCCTGTAGTAGTGGTATAATAGGAATATCATAGGGCCCTAATATAATCCTTATAGTCACTATTACAGGGTGGGGGCAGCTTCTAATGTATGCTCGAACGAGACTGCAGAAATCCTGACACACATCCGCAAAGCAGCCCCGCTGGGGGAATGAGAGAAGGGCTGCAGTAAGAAAGGGCATCCATTATTAGTCGAATACAAAGCATACTTCGTCCTTGATGTAGGGCTTGTCAAAGGAAGCCTCATCTCGATACTAAGCTCACATGCCCTGAGTCCCATAGCCCTCTGACACGCCACGCCCCGTAGCCAGAAGTCTTCAAAAAACTCGATCTAGAGTGGGGACATGACACCAGCGGGGCGTTTGGATTGGGATCTCATATTTGACAGGCTTGATGCCTCAGTACTTCAGACATCCGAGTGCAGAGCACGAATTTGCACTTGTAATTAGTCCCTCTAGATTTACATTGCAAATACGCCCCTCAGCTCCTTCGTCATGACTGAATGTCCCCGGCTTCTGAGCCGAGGTCGCTACAACCTAAATTCCTAACAAAGCCGCTTAACCGGAAGAGCTCTTGGTATAAGCCTTGAGCTGAAGCCCTCAACCCTAAACTAGGCCTATGACAAGTTCTAATGCACAAGAACCCTCAAAACCCAGGGAAGCAAAGAAGCGCAGGAATCTTTAACCCTAAACCCTAAACCTTGAATGTATAGGAACCCTTAAGACCCAAAGGAACCAAGAAGCCAAGAAAACCTTCAACCCTAAACCCTGAACCCCTAAAGCCTAAACCGAACTGAGAAGCCCAGAAAGCCTTTAAACGTGACTGCAGAATTGGTCACCGGATCCAGCTGGGGGCCCGAGATTGCTGGCACATTCCCTTGTGACTTGTGTTCTTGGGTGGTGTTCCACATACGTGTATATATATATATATATAGATATATATATATATGTGTGTGTGTATATACATGTGTATATATATATATATATGTATACACATGTATATCCATATATGTATATACATACCTGTACATATATATATACATATATTCACGCAAAGAAACCATAGCAGTAGTAGCAGTAGAAGCAGCAGCAGCAGCAGCAGCAGCAGGAGTAGTAAGTAGCAGTAGTAGTGGTAGTGGTACTTGCAGTGGTCGTCGTCTGCTACGGCAGTAGCCGTGGTGGTAGTCGAAGTGGTGGTAGTGGTAGTGGTAACAGTAGCAATAGTAGTAACAGTAGTAACAGTTGTAGCAGCAGTAGCAATAGGAGTACCAGAGCAGTAGGCCTGAGCAGGAGCGACAGCGGAGTGGTAGGGGCAGGGGCTGCGGCAGCGGCAGTGGTACTGCTTGTGGTAGTGATTAGTAGTGGTGGTTGTAGCCGTAGTCGTCGTTGTAGTCGTGGTCGTGGTCGTGGTCATGGTGGTGGTGGCGGTGGTGGTGGTGGGTGGTGGTGGTGCTGCTGCTGCTGGTTGTGTTGGTGTTGGTTAGTGGTGGTGGAGGTAGCGGTGGTGGCGCTGGTGGTGGTGAGGGTTGTAGCACTAGTAGTAAGAAGGTGTGTCCGGGGAGGTCTCTGCTTTCACGGATTCAGATTCGGGCTATAGTGACCCCGCAGTGGCTTAAGGCTTAAGGGATTAAAGCTCAGGGTGCTGAAACCGTAGGGTTTAGGGTGTAGGGTTTAGGGTTTAGGTCGAGGTACCCGATAAACCCCAAGCCAACCAGCCCGGTTCACTGCAGGAGTGGGCGACTCCCAGCAACAAAGAGAAGGTCAGACCCTGAGTAGTTCTTCTGGCTGTAAGTCCTCGTGCCTTGGGATTTAGCCATGGGGTGTAGGGTTTATGGCCTAGTCGGGCTGCTTGTGATCTTCATGAAATATGCTAGCGTTCGCTTTAGTGAGGGTTTCGGTTTATGGATTCGGTGGGTTAAGGCTCCGAACCTGCATTCAATCCGCATGCCCTTAGCGCCAACTCTTGAAAGGACTTCCTCTATGGGTCTGTCCTAGATGGCATCCTAGAGGGGCCGAAATAATTACCAATACTATTTTGGGGTTCCTAATTGTAATTATAGTATAAAAAACTCGACACCCTATTCTAATTATTTAGGCCACTACATTAATATAGTATCCTTGCAGATCCCTTATAGTAATCCTTAACAGAGCCCTTTAAAGGAACCCCGTTCTAATCATTTAGGCCACTATATTTAGTGCTTTTAGCAAGAAGCCTTGAACCGCGAGACGCCAAACCCCACAAAAAAAACAAAAAACAAACACGTCGTTTGACATAGGAGCCTTAATCATCATAGAATAGGGTTTTGGGGCCCAGTATACTAAGGTTTAGGGTTTACAGTCTAATACGGGCCTTAATCATCATAGAATAGGGTTTTGGGGCCCTGTATACTATAGATATGATAAGGTACAGCAACAATAGTATTGGTCTGCATTTAGGCCCCTATATCATCGGCTCTTAGGCTCTGGTTCAGGATTTAGAGGCGGGGTTTACTGGGAACGTGAAGTTTCCCTTGTAGTTGTTGGTGTAGGTTTGATTCAGCGCTCAGACGTGCATGGCGGTGCCAGATGAGAAAACAAAGCCTAAACTCTAAACCCAGGTGCTCCAATTTAGCAGCCGGCGTACTCTCCCAAATCCAGATCTGATTCCAGCTTGCAGCACGAATAAGTAGTAGGCTCTTTGAGCCCTTAAGGTCCCTTTAAAGGAGCCCTCGATTTTACAAGGGAGCCCTTTAAATCCCTTAAACGAGCCCTCGGTGTCCCTTGAAGGAACCCTTACGGGGGAGGCTTGAGGCTTTCGGGTTTACCGTTTCTTAATAAGGACCCCTAGGTATATACCCTTAATATAGCTGTTATATTATACCCATTATATAGCCCCATTATGGGGTAGGGATCCCCATCAAGGGTCCCTCCTTTTTCTCCTTTGAAGATCTCTGTCGACCTCCGGAGTTCACCAGCTTGGCAAACCGAGGATCCTAATCGTAGCCCAAGATATAGAAATGCTAACAAAAAGGTGAGTAATAGTAAGTTTAACAAAAACAGGAAGTAGCTCTAAGAGCAAAAAAACCCGCTAATCCTGCTGTAAAAGCTTCATAACTATTCCGAAATGCTCATGGAACCCTTCCGAACGACCCACCCACCCCCAAGCTTCAGAATCGCACCGGGTCTGTTTCTTAGGCGAAGGTGCCAAAGTCCATGGTTTGCCAACTCCTCGGCGCGTGATTGAGCCGATGAGTGCCCTTGGCCTGTAAGGGACGTTTCTTGGGACTGGGATTTAGGTTTAGGGTTTTGGGGATTTTTGGGACAGGATTTGGGGGTTTAGGGGTAGGGTTTAGGGTTTAGAGGTTTTGGGGGTATCTGGGTAGAGTCTGAGGGTTAGTTTAGTGCTGTCTTGCTTCTGTTAGGTCCCGCAGTTTGCTACGTCTAGCTCTGAACGGAGAGCGATCCGATGCCGTCTAGAGGGACCTAGGTCATAGTTGGGTAACATTTTACATATTTTTATAGGTACTTGCACCCAATAAGGAATTATCCCAACCATGAACTAGGGACGGGATTTGGTTTTGAAATTGGTTTGTTCTGGTTGTTTACTGGGCTTGGTTATAAGGGCTTTGAGTCTGCGGTTTTGCAATTTTGGATTGGGAGCTGTGTGAACATAGAAGGCGGATAGTAATTTGGATGGGTTCAGGGGACCTTGTTTGCTGAGTACTGACCATAAGTCTCGTAATACCCAAAAACGTACGGAAGCTTGGGCAGAACAAAAGCCACAGACCACATACTCAGATCTCAGGCGCTTGGTGGTTTCGCTCTTTTGTGAGCCTGCAGTTTTGTTCCAGAGGGAGCTTATGAATTTGCCGACGCGGCTTCTTTGCCTCGTGGTCCAGCCGCAGCTGAAGCACAGGACAGGACCCCACAAGGGCTTACACTAGCTAACAGTTATGGTACTGTAGTAGTCTTACTGTTCCTGGGACTATTTGTGTTTGGTATTTGGCTTGACACCGCTTCATAAGTAATTGGGTCTCCAGTTTGTGCCTCTAGTTGTCTTCTTGCAGGCTGTTCACGAAGCCCGTGACCCCCAACAGAGATGTGTAACACCGAGTAAGCGTGTTGTACTCAAGCCCGTCGGCAGTCTCGTCAAAAGAGCCCTCAACCCGGTAAGCTCTACAAACTCTTGCAGACGGTCTACACCAAGCTACGAAGACATGCGGAAACTGTTCGCACATGAGGTTTAGGTTCAAGGACGTTTATAGGGTCAGGCGCACACTAAGCTGCACGTGCCGACAGCCTTCCGAGTTCGAACATCCTCTATGATTGGACTCTAACCCCCTAAATCATGAATGTCAGCATGGCAGCTCCATGCCCGAAGCTGTGTGATCAGGGTCGGCGAGTTTGGTTCCAGGATTTCGGATAGGAGCTTGAAGGCCTGCATGCCTTTAAGGCACCGAAGCCGCGAAACTTCTCTCTGAAAATGTTCGAAAGGCGTCAACCGGCTTGATGTCCAGTCGAAAGGTTAGCATACGGTGCACTGCTAACAGCTTTCACGTCCTGTGGCTCCCTGACCTGTGCAAGCGGCGGAAAGGGGAACACGTTATGTTTCAAGATTTTTGAATCTTGTGCCATGACACCTGGAGGAGTGAATGTAGGTTCCGGGGAACGTCGCGTGCCGAAATTGATTGAAAGTGCTGACCGAACAATGGGTTCGCGCCCAAGATGCAATACCCCGAATGCGGTGTCTTGATACCCAAACAATGGAAGCGAGCCCCTCCAATGAGAAACAATAATGTCGGGGCGAGCTAGCTAGTGCCAGGCAACCACTGCCAATTGTTATCTGCTGCTGCTACTACTACTACTACTCCTCCTCGTGCGGCTACTGCTACTGCTGCTACTGCTACTGCTGCTACTACTACTGCTACTACTGCTGCTACTAAGTATTACTGCAGCTTCTGCTAGTGTTACTACTGTTACTATCGTTACAACAACTACTAGTTACTACTACTACCACCACCACTACCACTACAACTATGAACCAACTACCACTACCCCTACCGCTACCACTACCACCAGCGCTAACGCTACCGCTACCACTACCACTACTACTGCTGCTGCTGCTGCTCCTCCTCCTCCTCCTACTACTACTACTACTTCTACTACTACTACTACTACTACTACTACTCCTACTACTATCACTACTACTACTACAACTACTACTACTACTACTACTACTACTACTACTACTACTACTACTACTACTACTACTTCTACTACTAAGACTACTACTGCTATTACTACTACTACTACTACTACTACTACTACTACTACTACTACTACTACTACTACTACTACTACTACTACTGCTACTGCTACTGCTACTGCTACTGCTACTGCTACTGCTACTGCTACTGCTACTGCTACTGCTACTGCTACTGCTACTGCTACTACTTCTTCTTCTACTTCTACTTCTACTTCTACTTCTACTTCTACTTCTACTTCTACTTCTACTTCTACTGGTACTGGTACTGGTACTGGTACTGGTACTGGTACTGGTACTGGTACTGGTACTGGTACTGGTACTGGTACTGGTACTACTACTCGTGTGGTGGTGGTTGGTGGTGGTGGTGGTGGTGGTCGTGGTGTTTTAACAGAGTTTGCAGTAGCAGCTAGCAGCAGTGCTCACTGTTGGTTTGTAGCATAGAGGGGTTATTTCTGGCTCTGGCTGTTCCATCAGTTTGCACTTAGTCGTCGTGAAAGTTCCTTTTCTCCAGCCCTCAGCTAAGCACCCACATGATCTGCGCCCGCGACTGCTGCTTTCAAATCTTCCTCCAAATCCGTTCTTCGCCGTGCTAGCCGCTGAGCGTGGGTCAGAGTTATCCACGGTCGGGCCGGTACCCTCAATATTTCAAGCGGGCAAGCATACTGGCTCTGTCGAGGAATTCATCGAGCCGACTCAGCTCCAACAGACGGGAAAGTCGAAGACTTGGGGTCTATTAGGGTTTCGGGCTTTGGGTGTTTTTCGGGTTTTAGTGGTTTGGGGTGTTGTGTTTAGGTGTAACTCTATTACCACAGGTTGCCTATGGTTCCAGCCTCTGAGTGTTTCCAGCCTTTGAGATGCGGCCGGGGGCACAGGCATCTGTGGTTCTTGTGAATGTGGCTTGGGTTTTGAAACCCTACAAGCCCCAAACCCAAACCCTAACCCCTGAGCGTAGGCGTCGGGAAGCTCGCGATGCTTGATGGCCCGCCCTTCAAAAATTTCTAGTCACTAGTCCCTATATCTATTTATTTCTGCCTGCTGTTAGCTGCTAAACCCAACCCGAAGGCCTAAACTCTAGATTTAAACCCTGAACTTTTAACTGCTCTGAAGTTTAGGGTTCAGGGGATATGCATACAGGTTATGAGCCATGGGTAGATACAGGCGCGGGGAAGGCAGAGCCTAGCGACTGTTGCGTCCCGTGTGACCCATCGACGTGAAGGAGAAACCCAAGGACTTGCTTGTTTGGTGACGCCTGGGCTCCGTGACTTTGCAGAATACCTCGCTCCAGACCACAAGCCTTAATCTGAAATCATCATACGTGCCCTCACGTGCGCGGACTCGCGCACACACAACCACACACGCTCATCACACATGCACGTGTTACTGTAGAACTGCGTCCTTTCTTTATGTTTGTTTTTTAATGTTGCAGTTGACAACAAGCATGAAATATTCCGGCTATGTCACATGTTCTGCCAAGGCAATGTGCAGTCTCATGCTCAAGGCTTTGAGCTACCTACACCTCAGGCTCCCAAACCTCCCTCAACCTGAACCCCAAACTGTAAACCCTTAAACCGCAAATCCGCAAAATCCCAGGCATGAGGCATTTCTTGGGTTTCCCGTGTCCGGTTCTGGAGGCGTCAGTTGAAATCTCCAGATCTTAGATTGGGTTGCCTTTGAAGTGTTCCCCTTGGGGTCCTCGTGCGTATTCGTGCTGTAAGGTTTAGAGGGTTTCGGGGGTTGCGCCTGCAAGTATCAGCCCATGTCCCCGTACCTGTGTTTGTATGTGAGGGAGTTACGACGCAGTTGACACTCAACATCATGAGGCCGTGCTTCTTTGCGGCTACAGGCTAGGTACCTTGTAACATGTAGTTGCCCTAGACCAGGTATGTACTACAGGGGCTTACTGTACTTACCTATGGTGTTTTGGGGGTTCCTTCTCATAAATATCGTAGAATATACCGTACACCCAAACCCTACCCTTTTCTACTTATTAAGGCCCCAATAGGATCCGAGGTTGTTTGCACGAAGCACATCTTACGCACTTGGACTCTCAGGGGTGTGGATGTTGGGGACATCAAGTTCCTTGTACTGCAGCTTACGACTCAGCGGTCTCCAACAAGAACTGAAATTCACAAATCTCAAGCAACTGGTCTAGTCGCGACTGCCGGACTAATGACGACCAAACGACCAAACCTCTGAATAACGATTGCAGTACGTAGATGTGACGGAGTTACAGCTGTGTTTTGGACAAAGGCGGTTCACTAGTCAGTAGTTTTCAATACATGTCCAACAACCTTGTGGCGACTCTTCCTCACTTAAATCTAGGGCCCTCGGCAAAAAGTCTTGAAGGTTAAGTTCGTGTCCTTGAGTGACACCGCTGGAACATTGAGCCCGAAAGCCCAAATCCCTCAATGACTTGATTTGATACCTTGGAACCCAGACAAATTAAAACCCTGAACCTCGTGTTCGGGGGATACAGGGTACGTTTGGTTTCGAGTGGGGGATAAGCCCAACCCATACGAAACTTACTCGACTCAGAAATCTCGGCCTAATCGTAAAGCCTAAACTCTAAACCCCTAAACTTTAAACTTTAAACCTTCTCAACAGAAAGAAGCCTCGAGCACTGAACCTCGGAAAAAAGTGTGTCCTCCACATCCTGTTGGATGGATTTCCATCCCGGTCGGCAGAGTTGAAGGAAGAGACGAGGTTCCAGGCCCAGAACCTATTAGTAGAATAGGTAACCTTTAACCTTTGTTGGGTAGTCTAGTCCCTATATGATCCCTATATAACCAAAAAGGTTAACCTTTAGTTACCCATGATACCCGACAAGTCGGAGAATGGGGAAGCAGTGGCGCATTTAGTTTGTACCTTTTTTCGGGTTTAGAGTTTAAGGGTAGACCCATTAACAAACCTTATAAGCCCTAAACCCCCATTAATATTGCAACAACGGTAGAACCCTCAACGAACCCTAAACTTTAAACACGATACCCTTAGATAAACCCCTAAACCCATATAAATATCTTCCCCTCTGAACATTGCGGGTACTATAGGGGCCTCAATAATTACCTATACTATTTTGGGGGTTCCTTATTATACTTATAGTATAATGGGCCCCGAAACCCTAGTGTAATTACTAGGGCCCCTATATCATAGACCCCTACTATAGATCCCTTATAGAACCCCTTTAAAGGAACCCTATTCTAATCACTAGGGCCCCTAAAATACCAATTATTAAGGCCCTTACATTAGCTCTAAAATCAATTTGCTCGGGGAGCATGAAGCCTCGCCTCTCGCACCTGCCACTCTGCGCTTCCTGTCTGAACACCGGGGGTTGAGGCTTTGAAGGGAACTCCAGAAAGTTGGAATATGGTTTCATGGTAGGATACCCTATAACTTACCGTAGAAGGGCTTAGGATAATCATATTCCAACTTTCTGGCTTTTACCTTAGTGTTTACAGTAGAAGCCAGAAAGTTGGAACATCATTATCCTCTAAAGTAGAAAGTAGAGGGAATTTCAGCACTAATCATCCTAAATCCATGTTCCAACTTTCTAGGGTTCACCATATTGGGGTTCAGGGTGTTTACAGAGTTTAGAAGTTCAGAGCTTGTGGAGTGTTTGGAGCTTACAGGTTTTAGCTCATATAGAGGGGTTAGAGCTTATAGAGCTTAGGGTTTTTAGTTTCGGGTTTGGGGTTTAGGGATCGGTACCGGCGCTACCAGGGCCACCGCTGTGACAGAGCTGTGGCCTCTCGCGCTATCTCCTGCCTTCTCGGGTTTGGGTCGAGGTAAGGCTGTGCGGGCTTTGCCTTTTAAGTTTTTGCGAACTGTACTCCCGAGCCCTAAAGTTAGGGACCCCCAAAATCACATAAGCATAAGCATTTTATAGGGATATCCCTACCTTATTGGGCTTCATTATGAGGGGGCCCTATGTTAAGGTTTTACGAACTGTAATCCCAATCCCTAAAGCGGAAGGCACGCTTCTACTTTCATCAGATGTGGTACTTGATTCACCTTGCGGCTTGATAGCTTCTGTAGGCTACGGGCTTCAAGTTTAGCTCTAGAGTCATCAACCAAAGATTGTTTGTTCAGTTTCCGACGGTTCGGTGCAACCAGAGAGCCAGTCAACCATCAGAGACGCCAATCTCCCTTAATTAATATTAGTAGGATCCCCAACATGGTTTAGGGTATATTCCTGAATGATCATCCCAGTGATCTTGATATCCCTCTACTTCATTTGCCCAGCGACGGAGCGACTATGTGATATCTGGTCAGATGGCAGGTTCACGGCTGAGATGCCTTTTGGGGTGCTGTTTCACCACA